CGTCTCCAGGACTTGCCTCATTTTTGCAAAACCGAAACTGTCCCCAGGCGACACGCGGTGGGGGCACTCTGTGTTTGTCCACCGGGGGTCATCCGGGGATGAAAACAGAGGCCAGGGCTGGGACCGTCAGCGGGCCACGAGCCACAGGCCAAAGCCTGGCCTGGAACTTCAGAGCCACGGGGACCCCTGGGAGTGTGGTTGGGAACTCAGACCGTCAGGCCTTTCCCAAGACCCACTGAGCCCAAATGGGCAATCCAAAGAGGTCCCAGGCCTTGGGGGCACATGAAGTCTGAGAGGTGCTGGTGTGTGAGATGTGTTGGTGTGTTTGTCCTCAGGGTCACGTCCTGCTTCAGAAATACCCCAACGACTGAAAGGAAAGCAAGGGCGGGGGGGGGGGGGGGGAGGGGAGGAGGGGAGGCTGTGCCTGGACAAGGTCCTGTGCCGAATAAATACACTCTTTCCTCGGAGCTGTTGACCATCAGAGGTTTCATTTGGGAGGAGAAACCCGAATAGTTCTGTGCCTCCTCCTATCTGGGGGGAAGCGGTCACTTATTTGTCCAGCCTTTTGTCCTCTGTCCACACGGCTTAGCCGCCGAGGTCAGCGCGGCCTGGACTCTGGAAACCTGGCTCAAGGCTGCCCCATCCCATCTGCCTGAGATCCCACAGCTAGAGAGACGCACCTTCACGTGTGGGGACCCCGAGCAGAAGCCGAAGGCAGACAGACGGAAGGGAGGGTCCCCGGCGTCCTCAGCCTGCGCCCACGGGAGAGACCTGAGTAAGTGCTCCGCCTGCACGCACGGAGCGTCCCTCAGCTGTGACATGCACGAGGCATACATGCTCTCGCCTCACCAGGCTGTTTAGGGCAAATTCGAGGAAATGAATGTGAAGTCCTTTATGAAGTAACTAGGGGCCCGGTGCACAAAATTTGTGTTGGGGAGGGGAAGGGAGCGTCCCTCAGCCCGACCTTCACCCTCTTGCGGTCCAAGACCCCTCAGGGGATGTCCGCCTGCTGGCTTAGGCCCCTTCCCTGGAGCCAACAGTTGGAAATCCCTCTGGCAGTCTGGAACCCCTCGCTCCTTACTGCCCGCCTGCTCGCTGATCCTTCCCACTGCTGAGAAACTCGGACTTCTTCCTCTGCGGTCACACACCTGTCACACGCCAGGCAGTCACTCAGACATACCTTGGCATCAGCCAACTTATGGAATTCTCCCTTCTCTCCATTCTCCTGAGCCAGACTCCGAATCCCCTTAGTCATCATTTTGTGTGCGTGTGTGTGTGTGTGTGTGTGTGTGTGTGTGTGTGTGTGTTTTTCTTCCCCCCAAAATGTTACAAAGTTTCTATGAATATGAGGTGCAGCCTCTTTTGTGGGAAGAGGGAGGGAGGGATGGCTAAGTAAGGCCCGCGGAGCTGCAGTGTGCACCAGCGGTGGGAAGGGCCAAGGGGGAGAGGAGGTCAGGAGGTCGGCACAGAGACCCTAGAGCCGTGGCTGGGGAAGTGGGGATCCCCGCTGAGTGCCACTGTTCTGAGGCTGAACTAATTGGTCCAGCTGAGGCAGAGGTGGGTGGCCGCATCAGCCATCTTTGGTGCTGTTTACCCTTCCTGCCCGCCCCATCCTGTTGTAAAACAGCCAGAGCCCTGGATTCCAAAGGCCCCATCCAGAGCAGATGCCCTGGAAGGGAGAGAGAGGAAGAGGATAGGGTAGTTTGCAGCTCCACCCTCTTCCTTCCCTGAGGCCTCTTTCTGAGAGAGAGTGAGGGGGGGAAAGAGAGGGAGGAAAGGCTGTGAGCTGGTGGGCGCTGTGTGTGTCTGTGTGTGTGCAGTTGTGAGTGAGTGTGAGTGCTGGGCACTCTCTCTCCCCGTGTCCTGGGGGAGGGCCCTGCACGCGGGTGCTGCGGCGACCCAGGATCCACGGCCACCGCGGTGTGGCACTGAGAGGAAGAGGGACTTGGGGCGCCTTTGGGAGGCAGTGTGAAGATCCTGGGAGCCTCCAGAGGCGAGGGCAGCCTCCTTCACCCCGGCCTGTGGCTTTGGCTCCCCTGCTCCCTCCTGAGCACCGCACGTGAGTTGGGGAGGGGATCGGTGACCCATCTCAGTTCCTGGCCCCCACAGGCCTCCCTTCCATCCAGTCTGTTTTGTTTCCACCTCTCCATCCCAGGCTCTCCCAGTCTCTGTCTCTCTTTCTCCTCTCAGCAGTCCTCCAGGCCTGCCTGCCTCCCTTTTCTTCCTCTCTCCCTCCGCCCTCCTCTCTCTCTCTCTCTCTCTCTCTCTCTCTCTCTCTCTCTCTCTCTCTTTCTCTCGGAGGGGCTGAGGCCTCTTTCTGAGAGAGGCTTTGAGGAGGAGCTGGGAGGGAGGGAAGGAAAGGGAGAAAAGGCTGTGAGCTGGTGGGCCTGAAGGACCGACTGCTACCCTGGGTGTGCCAAGGGGGGGGGGGGGGGAGGTCATCCCACAGGCCTTGCCGGAAACAGCTCAGGGAGGCGCCTCAGGGCTGGTGGGACTGACGGAAGTGGGGATGGAAGAGGGGACGTGGCATGGAGGTGGTGCCTGTGCCTGCAGGCAGTCTAGAGGGCTCATAGCCTCCACAACCCCCATGTGCGGAGAATAGATCCCCCTCCACTGGCCCCGCCTCCCCCATCCCCGTCCCCATCCCCATCCCCATCCCCATCCCCACTGCCACACGTCCCTGCCTACCCGAGCCTCCTGTACACATAGCCTGGCGTTCGGTCATTTCTCCGGTCTTTTTGGATGTTACGGACCCTGGCTCTTTATATCTATAGATTAGAGGCCTGGTGAACAAAATTCACGCACAGGAGGTCCCCTCAGCCCAGCCTGCACCCTCTTCAATCTGGGATCCCTCTGAGGATGCCAGACTGCTGGTTTAGGTCTGATCTCAAGGATTGAGCCTAAATCGGCAGTTGGACATCCCTCTCATAACTCTGGACCACTGGCTCCTAACTGCTCACCTACTGCTTGCCTGGTCATCAATGCTGCCCTGCCAATCTGGTTGCCCCTAAATGCCCCCTGCTGCTGATCAGGTCACCCCAACTGCCCCCTCCCTGTCAGCCTGGTCACTCCTAACTGTCCTCACCCCACTGGCCTGGTCACCCCTTACTGCCTCCCTATGCTGGCCTGGGTGCCCTCAACGGCTCCCCTCTGCTGGTCTGGTCACCCCTAACTGCCACCCCCCTGCTGGTCTGGTCGCCCCCAACTGACCGCCCCCTGCCAGCCTGGTTGCCCCTAACTGCTCCCTACTGCTGGCCAAGTTGCCCCCAACTGCTCCCTCCCTGCCAGCCTGGTCACTCTAACTGCCCCCCTGCTGGTCTAGTTGCCCCCCCTGCCAGCCTAATCGTCAACTGCCCCTCTTGCCAGCCTGGTTGCTCCTAACTGCCCCCTGCTGCTAGCCAGGTCGTCTCCAACTTCTCCCTCCCCCCTGGCCTGGTCACCCCTAACTGCCTCTCCTCCCTGGTCTGGTCAACCCAACTTTCCCCCCCTGCCAGCCTAATTGCCCCCAACTGAACCCCCCTGCTGGCCTGGTCGCCCCATGCAGCCTGCCTGTTCAGTCATTTGTTCTGTCATTTAGGTCATCAGGGCCCCTGGCTTTTTTTTTTTTTTTTTTTTTTTTTAATATATATTTTATTGATTTTGTACAGAGAGGAAGGAAGAGAGATACAGAGTTAGAAACATCGATGAGAGTCATCGATCAGCTGCCTCTTGCACACCCCCTACTGGGGATGTGCCCGCAACCAAGGTACATGCCCTTGACCGGAATCGAACCCGGGACCCTTCAGTCCCCAAGCCGATGCTCTATCCATTGAGCCAAACCGGTATTGGCAGGGCTCCTGGCTTTTTATATATTAGGATGTACCAGTCAAAATATTTGTTGTTTGGTGATTATCATGGAGGGGGGGCTTTGAAGGGGAGGGTGGTTGGAGAGGGGAGGGGAGGGGCGATCAAAGGGATTTGTCTCTGCTTCCTTTTGTTTATCTTAGTGTCTGCAAACTGAGGGGTGTGGATTCTGAATAAAAAGCCAAGAAGAGAGACACATTATGAGTTTCTAGATAAATTCTAAAAAGCAAATATAAGCTATTACTATCTCTACTTCTATGCACCTAAGAGCATGTCGCAAAAATACTCCTCACAGCTTTTGTAGGCGCTGCTCCAACGTCCATTCTGTTCGCATCTCCCAGTTTTCTTCTTCGGGGATTCCGATCAGAGCACGGAGCCTCATTCTGTACATGCTGGCCCCAGTTTTTCACTTCATTTGCTCACTTTCTTCATCTGTCTGCAGTGTTGCTTTTACATTTTAAAAAATTTTTTAAATAGGGTCTCTTTTCCCTTATGTGAATTCCAATAAGCATTTATTTTTTGTGACGGCTTTATTTTTCTCCTCTCTTCCTTCCTAAACTTCCCCTGTTAATTTCCTTGATCCCTCAGAGCTATTTCCTTGCATTGTCAAGGAAATTGCTTCCCTGGCTTTAAAAATATTAATTGCCAAAATAGTGTTTGCTATTTTCATTGGCTTTTTGGTAACACTTTCCTGGTGAGTATTCTTTATTTGCCACTTATTTTTCTTGTTGTTACTGTCTTTTTTTTGTGTGTGATATATATTTTTTATTGCAGTAAAATATAACATAAAACTGACCATCATAACCATTTCTATGTGTCTAGTTCAGTGGCATTAAGCACATTCATATTATTAGGCAACCATCCCCACTGCCCATGTCCAGAACTTTCCATCTTCCCAAACGGAAACTGACCCATTAAACCCCTTGCTCCCCCTACCCGGTCGGCATTTCCCAGGGCTCCCCCCTCAGCCGGCTCCCGTGGGGTTCACCTGTTTGTGAACTCCTAGGCCTGCGTTCCTAGGTCTCCACTCTTGTGAAGCCGCTCCCCTCCTGAGTGACAGCGGGTCTGCTTTCCTCTTTCCCAGGTGGGGCGGCGTCTCTTCCACCCCAGACCCATCGCCACCTCCGGAGAGAAGCACAAGGAGCCCTGGAGGCACCATGGCCATGGCACCAGCAAGAATCCACTCAGGTAACCCTCTCCGCCCCTCGACGTGTTTTCTGACCACAGTTCACCATCTCAATCTGTGACGGGTGACCCTGGAGACTGGGCAGTGGCCCGGAGCCCTGGATGTGGGTGAGGATCCCCCATGAGGTCTGCTCACCCTCCTCCCCCAAGTAGAGACATCCTAGGTCCCTGGGACACAAAGACTGTATTTCATGAGCCCCAAATCAGAATACATACTCAGATCACCCCCTCCGGCCCCTGCGACTCTCAGCTGGCAAGCTCGGTTGGCCAGGTCGGAGGTCATCCTGTGGTTGTGCAGTCAGAACACCCAGAAGTCCCTGAACTTGGCCTTGGGCCAGCCACACCTCCTCACTCAGGGTCATTGCCAGAAACCATGGTGATGGGAACCCAGGCAGCACCTCCTACGCTCCCGGGTGGGCCCGGGTCCCCGAGCACAGTCCTTTGGCAAGACGGGTTTAATTATGGGATTTAACCCCAGAGAGCCTCGTTGTTTTTCACATTTTAAGTCTTTATCTCGTATTGGTGTACTTTCATGTAATCTGTCTCCCTTCATGGATATTTCAAATTGTGTCCACTTGTTTTCACCACTTCCAGGACCTGGTGGGCAGCCTTGCCTGTGTCTGTGCACACGCCATTGTGTTTGTGTGGCATGAATGTCTGCAGGGTGATGCCCAGTGTCGAACCTGTGTACATTATATGTTACCTGGTATTCCGAACCGTCCTTCCAAAGGTTTCTATTCTAGGCTCAGCCACGTGTCTGAGAACACACCCTCCCCTCGCTCAGCGCAGGATGCTCCCAGCATCCTTTTCACTTCTGCCAAAGTGACCAAGGAAATGGCGTCTCGCTGTGGCCTGCATTTGCATTTTCTGGCGACTCCTGCCTAATGTTAAACAACTTTTCATGAGCTGATCAGCCATTGTCTTTCTTCTTCTGTGAAACACCTTTTCAAAGAACACGAGAAATCCCTGTTTACGGAAAATGAGAACCAAGTGCACTTTGAAAGAGTAGGGATTTTGTTATTGCTTCTTCTTTTTTTAATGCTATGTTTTTTTGTTTTTTTGTTTTTAAAGATATTTTAATTTATTTCAAAGGGGAAGAGAGAGAGGGAGAGAGAGAGAAACATCAATGATGAGAGAGAATCATTGATTGGCTGCCTCCTGCACGATCAGGGATCCAGCCTACAACCTGGGCATGTGCTCTGACTGGGAATCGAACCCTGACTTCCTGGTTTATAGGTTGACACTCAACCACTGAGCACTGCCACCAGGCTTGTTATTGCTGCTTAACTCTTCAAGCTGGCATGGCTCACGGTTGAAGAGTTCGATTCCCGAGGCCACAGTTCAATTGCCAGTCAGGGCACATGCCCAGGTTGTGGGCTCAATCCCCTGTGTGGTGTGTTGTATGAAGCAGTGGATCAATGATTCTCTCTCATCATTGATGTTTCTCTCTCTCTCTCTCTCTCTCTCTCTTTCTGAAGTAAATAAAAAATATTTTTTAAAAAAAAGGACAGAAGGGAGGGTGGGAGAGAGAGGTTTTGATCTCAGTGAAGAGAAGTGGAATATGTTTGTTACTCACATTAAAAACTTGAAAAGATTAAAAGCATCCCAGGAAGATGAGGCAAACATAAAAACCCTGCAAACTCTTTTAGAACTTCAGAAAACAAGCAACTTTCATGTCATATAAATTGTTCCAGAAATGTGTTATTACCTATATTCTATGAAGTTTTCAGGAAAGAAAACTATAGTTCAATATCACTTATAACTCTAAGATAAACAATGAATACGATATTAGAACATATAAATCTGTAACATACCGATGCAAAAATCTGCAATGGTTTCCACGGAATATAAGAATAATTCAATATATGGAAATTTATGCACATAATACACTATACTCATGGGATAAATAAAAAAGGAAAATTACAATAATCTCGTTAGAGTCTAAAAACTCAGCACCTCATCCTAATAAAAATACGGAAATACAGGCATAAAACGTACTGCCTTAGGTGAAAGAGTGTTTTTATAAACCAACTGCCAGCAGTAAAATACTGGAGTCAATTTCATAAAATTAAATAATTTAAGAATTCAAGCTAGCCTAATGAGATATGGAACCAAAATAAGAAAAAGAAATATTGAAAGGAAAAAAAAAAAACAGGAAAGAAACCCAACATTATATGTTCATGAGTTATTCATTTAATCACTATTGCAAGGAATAAAAATTCGGTGAAGCCCAGAGGAGTATTAAAAATGAATACTGTTTCTACCGAGTAACTGCATCATTTAGAAAACACAACAGTAAGTGATAGTAGGAAATAACATTAGCATGGAATGCAAAGCAGCGGCAAATCTTACCTAAAAGGAGGAGGGAGAATAGAATCCTGAGAAGCATATCGCATCGCTGGGTAGGAGGGGATGCAGCAGACCGTGGGGTCACTCCGGATCTAAGCTGAGACCTTCTCAAAGGCACATGTTTGTCAATATGATGACAGCAAGTAGCTTCCTTTCCCCAGTTTAACTGGAAATATAAGCAGCTCCCCAGGCCCTGCATGCCAAACTGCAAGCAGTCAGAAAGCAGAGGTGGGCGTGGGAACCAATCCCTGGCCCAGCCACTGGCCAGAGTGGGGACAGCAACCAGGACAGGGTCAGTGCCATGATATGAGGGACTCACACGGGTGACAAACCCATGAAGACCCCGCTGTGTGGCAGGAAGGGCGTATGTCTGTAAACATGAGGGCAGGCTCCTCTTGATGAAAGAGCAGAGCCATCAAAAACAATCATCTGGCCAAAACCGGTTTGGCTCAGTGGATAGAGCATCGGCCTGCGGACTGAAAGGTCCCAGGTTCGATTCCAGTCGGGGCCATGTGCTTTGGCTGCGGGCACATCCCCAGTAGGGAGGTGTGCAGGAAGCAGCTGATCGATGTTTCTCTCTCATCGATGTGTCTAACTCTTTATCCCTCTCCCTTCCTCTCTGTAAGAAATTAATAAAATACATTAAAAAATAATAAGCATCCTCCGGTAGTGGTGTAATAATATGGACAATACTTGTCCTACAATATTACATCTGGAAAATAACAGACACAGTCATAGCATGCTATGAAAGCCACGTGAACAAGAATATGCATTTGAAAAGTTACTGGAAGTAAATGAAAAAATCAACAGGATCAGGAGTGATTTCTGAGCAACACAGGAAGCTGCAGCGTAAGGGATTTGAAGCAAGGGTCGCTAGGCAACATTATCTAGGGAGGGGAGGAAAAATAATTTTTCCTCTACCCTTCTGAGTTCTTATCTGAGACCCTTGTAATAAAAGAAAAACCAGCCGAAACCGGTTTGGCTCAGTGGTAGAGCATCGGTCTGCGAACTGAAAGGTCCCAGATTCGATTCTGGTCAGGGGCATGTACCTTGGTTGCGGGCACATCCCGGTAGGGGGTGTGCAAGAGGCAGCTGGTCGATGTTTCTCTCTCATCGACGTTTCTAGCTCTCTATCCCTCTCCCTTCCTCTCTGTAAAAAATCAATAAAATATATTTTTTTAAAAACAGAAAAAAAGAAAAGTCTGTTGACACATATCCTTCATGAACAAATGGGTGAGACCCAGGGAAAAATGAGTAACTCCCTAAGGAGGCTTCCAATTCAATCTTAAGTACCATTTTCATAGAGAAAGGGGAGGGGCTGCAGGCCTCGCCGAGGGGAGTAAATTATTTTTTTAGGAAAGATGAAGGATCCTTGGGAGAACAGAGGGGAGGTATGATAATTCGTGACAAAGTGTGCCTGGGTGTGGTGTCAACTTCCAGTCTCCTCTCCTGTAACAAGAGACTACCTCCCTGGTTGATGACACTCCGGGAAGGGGACCCAGGACAGCCTTTTGGTGGATGTGTCTATAGGCAGACGAAGGGAGTTCAGAGACAGCCTCCTGCATTGCTGTTTTCCAGGTGCCGACAGCTCAAAACATTGCGTGATCAAAGAGGCATCTTTGGGGTGACATAGTCTGCTGCCCGACACTGACCTGGTTAAACAAACAGCTAACCAGCCAGGGAACGCCTCCGCTCAGGAAGGGTTGAGCAGGGACAGGACAATCCTTCCGGGAAGGTAGAGCAGCAGGCTGGACGGAACGCACGCTCACTTGCCTCTGAGTTTGCAATATTATAACTTAAACTAGATGCCCCTTGCAGGAAGATTCCTGCAATAGGGCTTCCTGCTGCCATCTTAAATGGCCCTAATTATCTTGGTGCCTGTTGTTGGGTTATTGGATGATCATCAGAAGATTCTTGTGACGAAACATGTGATAACAAAAATTTGAGAGCCACCAGAAACCTAAGAGATGCTCAGTTCAACTACATCCTGGTTAGCTCTGGGCATTGTCACGGTTTGTTTGTTTGAAATCACCAGGCAAAAAAAAAAAAAAAAAAAAAAAAAAAGTGCAACATTACAGTTATTGACGTATTCTAATGTTGCTCATGTTGTTCCCAAATGTTGTACTTAGATGGTCTGCTTCCCCTGAGCATCGTTGAAGGCCTTGCCACCATGACCACAGACGACATGCACTGGCTTCTCTCTGATTGGCAGGCTTGGGAGGCAGTGATGGAGCAGCTTTGTCTTGGAAGGTAACCCCAGAGCAGTGATGTCTGGGGTGGAAGCACCGGAGGGAGAGCTCTGTGCGGGCAGGGACCGGGCTGGCATGCTCGCTGCCGGAATCCCAGCACCGGGAAGGCGCCTGGCACGCACCGAGCACACAGTGACTTGATGGGAAGGATGTCAGAAGCCGCTCCTGCTTCCCTGGAGAGGGGGCAGCTGGCCGGTCTACCGGAGGCTGCTGATGGCTTGCCGGGCACCAGATGGCTCTAACGTCATTGCCAACAGCTCCTCGGGGCTTGGGGCTGCTTGGGCTCCGTCGGGTTTTCCTGCAGGCCTGCCTCCTTCCCCATAGACACGCTCTCCGATATCCTAAACCCAGACCCCGAGGGCCAGACAAGTCAGACTCTCATGAGCCGTAGGAAGACGACTGCAGCATCCAGCACAGTCCCACGGTGTCCACACGGGCAGGCCTTCCTCCTGTAAGACAAGGCGCCTCTCCCGGCCTGTTAACAGGCGAGCAGAGCAGAACCCGCTGCTCCCAAGCACGGCCGCCCTCTGTTGGAAATCTGCTTCCAGTTTCCAAAATGCACGCGTGTCCGAGTGAGTGGCCGGGAGCCCTCCCCTAGGGGAGAGGTGATATTTGGTGTCTCCCTGGAGGCCCCCCCACCTTTTTTTATTTTTTAGAAGTGTAGGCTATTTTACCATTTTTTAAAATGCGTCTAATGCGTGCACGTGCTACAAAACTTAAGGAACAGAAGAGCAGACAGTCAAAAGGAAGTGTCCCACAAAGCTTTGGCCCCAGGGGCCCACTCCCTCCCCAGAAGCAGCCACAATTTCCAGGTAGATCCCCTTTAAACAGAGAAAGCAGAAATGGACAACACAACTTCCACAGGCTCTTATACTCTATTTCCCAGGACAGACCTGCTCACCAGCCTGTGCAGATGCACAAATTACGCACAGAGGTGTGTTTATTAAGAAAAGATTCGGTAATGAAAGCCAGTGATGCAGGGTCGGGACAATATTGTGCCTGATTCATCACATGGGCGTCACAGCCCGTCAGGCCATGCAGACGGCTCACATCCCCAGTTCCTGCCACTAGAGGGGGGCAGGCCCGAGGGCCACCCTCTGTCTCATTGCTCCCCAAGTTGTACCTTGACTCCCAGGGCGCTGCTCCCCACATGCTTCGGGAACTGAGATGACCTAGAAGTCCTTAGCCTCCCAGGTGAGCCCGTCCCTGAGTTGGGAAAACACGCGTGTGCTGTGTCCGCCCCCAGGGACGAAGTCGATGTGCTGTACTATATGGTGGTCCGGGAGCTGATGCGACGGGAGGAAGGGCTCAGGCCGTCCGGAAACCTGTCCCAGGAGGAGATGATGTTTCTCCAAGAGTTTCCCTGGCGGAAGCACCAGCTGAAGAAGACTATCAGTGAACTTTGCAGCATCGCAGACCAAGTTGACACAACCCACAAGATGCTCACCAAGACCAGCCTGGTGGCCAGCTCCTCGGGGGCGGTGTCCAGCGTCATGACCATCCTTGGTGTGGCCCTGGCACCTGTGACAACAGGAGGGAGCCTGCTGCTCACAGCAGCAGGGCAGAGCCTGGGGTTAGCAGCTGCTGCCACCAACATTTTGACAAATGTCTTAGAAAATAGGAGCAATTCGGCAGCAAGAGACAGAGCTAGCAGACTGGCGAGTCTCTCTATGGGCGCGGAGGCTGGAACTGGGGGAGGGATGCATTTCTCTGATGTGAGTTTCATCAGGAGGTGTGTTGACGCTCTCAGGAGCATCAGGCAGCTTCAGGCCTTCCAGAGGGCCCAGGCCAGCCCTAGCTTCATTGAGAGGGTCAGGAACTTCGTGGCCACAAGGCGTGTGCCCTTCTGGAGGGCCACAGGGGTGCAGAGAGCGGCGGGGGCGCCTGTCATGGCTATGACCCGCGCTGCCCGGATGCTGAGTGTAGCTGGGGCTGGCTACTTCCTCATGCAGGACATGAGAAGCATCCGGGAGAACTGGAGGCACCTGGAAGACGGAGCGAGGACGGAGATGGCCGAGGAATTGAGGAGGCTCGCCTGGGAGCTGGAGCAGGAGCTGGACCAGCAGTCCCAGCGCTACATGCTTACCATCCAGAGGCTTAACCAGGAGGGAGGAAGAAGGGCAAAGGATGCCGAGGATAAGTGGGGATGCAAACCAGGTAGTCATGGAAACACACATAATCACAACTGCCTTTTCCAGAGAGGACTTTCCCACACTCCTCCCTTAAATGAGGTCCCTCCTGCTCTTTCCAGCATCCTGTGCTTTTCTCCCAAAAAGCGCTGACCGTGCATCTTTGAAATCACCTGTGTTTGTTTTTTGTTGTTTTTAAAATATATTTTATTGATTTTTTACAGAGAGGAAGAGAGAGGGATAGAGAGTTCAATGAGAGGGAATCATCCATCAGCTGCCTCTTGCACACCCCCTACTGGGGATGTGCCTGCAACCAAGGTACACGCCCTTGACCGGAATCGAACCCTGGACCTTCCAGTCTGCAGGCCAATGCTCTATCCACTGAGCCAAACCGGTTTTGGCCTGTGTGTTAGGTGCCGGCTGGCCATCTTTCTGCAGAGCGCCAGCAGGTTGAGCCGTGCTGGGCTCACAGCAGGTGCGTCCTAGTTGTGTTGAATGACGTGAGTGGCATTTCATGGTAAAGGTGTCCCTTCAAATGAGTTGGGAAAGGATCCTTCCTTAAAAAGGAGTTTGTATTCCTAGACTCTCTTATTCAGAGACATTAACTACCTATGTGTAGGAAATGAAAACGACTATCAGGAAAATGAGGCTGAATTTCAAAATTCCTCCTTAATTCTACAGAGAGGGTGGGATGGGACCGGATAGCAAGGCCACTGCCTCAGATGCTGGGAAGAGACACAGAAGACTGTGAGGCTCATAAATTCATTCATTCATTCACCCATTCATTCGCTCATTAGTTCATGCACTGACCCATTAATTGGGGCCTGTGACGGGGCCAAGGACGAAGAAAGTGTCCCAATCCCGTCTGCATGTTGAAATCGCCTGGGAAGCCTTAACACACACCGATGATGGGTCTAACTGATGCGGGGTAGGACCCGGGCTTTGGACATTTTAAAGGCTCTCCTAGTGATCCTGTGTGGCAAGTTTGGGACCCCCTGTTTTAAGCGGGGTGGAGGTGGGGCTGGGCGTTCTTCCCATTCCTCTACAGTCGAACCTCGTTTCTCCCACGTCTCCCATCTCCAACAACCTGGTTCCAGGCCAAGTTGTTCACAGAAAAAAAAGTCTCTGTTTTGGACCAAAATTTCCATTTTCGAACAAACAACACTTTTTTAAAAAAATATATATATATATTATTGATTTTGTACAGAGAGGAAGGGAGAGAGATAGAGAGTCAGAAACATCGATGAGAGTCATCAATCAGCTGCCTCTTGCATACCCCCTACTGGGGATATGCCCGCAACCAAGGTACATGCCCTTGACCAGAATTGAACCCGGGACCCTTCAGTCCCCAAGCCGATGCTCTATCCATTGAGCCAAATCGGTTTCGGCGAACAAACAACACTTTCAAGTGAGGTATCAGCATGGCAGGCAACATGCAAAGGAGAGAAAGCTTTGGTTGCTGAAATTAGCATAATTTTAAAACATAAAGAAGCCATCAGCCTAGGCTGGTTTGATGCAGAGGATAGAGCATCAGCTTGCAGACTGAAAGGTCCTGGTTCAGTTCTGGTCAAGGGCATGTGCCCAGGCTGCGGACTCCATCCCCAGAGTCTCTCTCATCACTGATGTTTCTCTCCCCCCCCCTCTCCCTTCCTCTCTGAAATCAATATAAATGTACTTAAAAAATAAAATAAAGAGGCCATCAATTAGCAAAAGCTAATGTTGCTAAGGGTGTGAAAGTGCTCACAAAACAGCAATCATAGGCAACCGAATAGGTAGAAAAACTGTTGTGGCGTGGATAAAGGAAAAGCAGTTATCCTGTGATAGCATTTCAGAGGCAGGGACATATAAAAAATTCCTTTAAGATTAGAAGGGGGTGGTTTGATAAATTTAAGAGAAGAAGGGTTTATAAATTAAACAGTATATTAGACATAGCCTAATATATAAAAAGCCAGGGGCCGTCACAACCTAAATGACCAAACTAGTGACTGAACAGCAGGCTGCATGGGGCAACCAGGTGGCAGGGGGATTAGTGAGGGACGACCAAATGACTGAATAGCAGGCTGCATAGGGTGACCAGGCTGGCAGGGGAGGAAGTTGAGGGCAATCAGACCAGTGGGAAGGAGTTGGGGGCAACCAGGCCAGCAGATGGGGCAGTAAGGAGTGACCAGGCTGGATGGGGGGTAGTTGGGGGCGACCAGGCCAGCGGGGGGGGGGCAATTAGGGGTGACCAGGTCAGCAGAGGGGGGCAGTTGAGGGCAACCAGGCCGGCAGGCAGAGGCAGTTAGGGGTAATCAGGCAGGCAGGTATGAGCAGTTAGGAGCCAGCAGTCCTGGATTGTGAGAGGAATGTCTGAGTGTAGATGGCAATTGGACATCCCTGGAGGGTCCCGGATTGGAGAGAGACTCTAGGGATGGAGTCTGCAGCCCGGGCACATGCCCTTGACCAGAACTGAACCAGGGGACCCTCCTCCTCCTGTGCACTAATTTTGTGCACCGCGCCTCTAATACTGTATATAAGTTGAAATAGGGAATCATTTTGGGGTCTGGAACAGATTAATTCAATTTACATTATTTCTAATGGGAAAAAAAATGATTCAATTTTTGGTCACATCGCTCTTGAAAGGCCTTGTGGAATGGATTAAGTTTGAGAAACAAGATTCCAATGTACATCCATATCCTTTTACCCACCGGGTACATTCAACAGCTTCCTAATAGGCCAGGGGCAGATTTGGGGGTAAATTATTTTACACGAGGATTCATATTCTGAAGGGCCTTGCCCACTCTTCCCTTGCCTGTCTTGGAGCAAGCACAAGCTCAGGCCAGGAGCCTGCAGGGTACCGAGGATCCTGAGAAAAGACAGCCCCTGCCCTCATGGTACTTGAGGAGGGACAGACCTCAGATAAGCCATTAACGAGGAGGAGAGGTACATGGAATGACACGAGGACAGGGTGGTGGGTACTCCCAGGGCAGGGGAAGGGGGATGGGTAGTGGAAGGTGGGGAGGAAGCCCAGGCGGTGAGAGAAGTGGGTGTCTTCTGTTTCTGCTCCGCAGACATGCATTCTGGGCCTGTGCCCTTGCCCGTCACCTCACTGGTCCCTCTGCACATGGCCTGTGTGCATTTCCAGCCCGAGGGGCCAGACATTCAGTTCTTCAAAGCACAAGTGTTATTAGCACCTGGGTGCGGGCACATGTGGGGCCCAGCTGTGGACCAGACCGACGGAGATGGGGGAACTACCTCCTCAGCCCCGTGAGAGCTGGCCGCCCACACAAACCCGTGTGCGATCCCAGTCAATCCACGGGAGTGACTAACTCCTTTCTTCTCCTTTCGCCCTAGTTGGCCAGGCTGGCCCCAGCAGAAGCAGAATGCACGCCTTCAACGACGGGGTGCCTGGAGAGGGTGCTAGGAGACCTGCAGCACTGTGCGGTAACCCCCGGGGACTCCAGAAATACCGGACCAGACTAGAATTGCAAGAGATCAGACGCTCTGTGGGGGGGAGAGGAGGGCAGTCAGGGTTAGAGTCCAAGGAGACCTAAACATACATGTCAGTTCCGACTGGGGCTGAGACACATTTAGAATACGTGTATTTTCCAAACGGTATATAATTACACAGTACAATTACAGTCAAATGGGAAAACCCCTCTGTTTTACAGTAAACTATGCTCTGCTCCCCTGCCACCCCCCTCCTCACGTGGTCCCCACCCCGTCACTACAGTCACACCACGCACACAGTCTTTGTTGCTCACGCTTAGGTAGGATCTACATTCCGGTGGCGAGGAGAAGTCAGCGGTTCGAGAAAAGCCGTTACCGGGAGGAAGTTATCCCTTCACAGCAGCAGAATTTATAACTGAAAAATGGGACACCATTAAAATGTTCCGACACTAAGACTGACGCCATACAGGCCAGTCATCCACTTAAGAGGCTATGACGTAGCCATCGAAACAATGCTCAATAGTTGGATTAACATGGAAAATGTTTTATCAAGTTAGGTGAGAAAAGCAGAATGAAAATTTATCTATATACTTCCTCACCTTTTGCCTAACCAAAGGAAACACATATCTCAAGCCTGTGTGCAGAAACACATGCATGCGCGCGCGCACACACACAAACACACACACACACACACACACACCGTGGCTATCTTTATTTAGAGGGAATTTTGGTTACTGTTCCCTTCTTCTCTTTGCCTTTCTGTACTTTTCAAGCGTTCTATTATGCGAATTACTGTTTTATAAAATGAAAAAACCCACATTTTAAATATTTACATCAAAATTAAAGAAACAGCTTGCTGTTCTTAAATTAGCCTGTTAAATCACTGGAATGAATAGTCTCCTCAGGGCTGACTGCAGCCAAAGTGGGAGGAGAATGAGTGTTTTCATGGAAGACCATTCTCGTGATGTTAGCAAAGGCTGACATTGGGGGAAACCTAGTCTTCTAGGTTTCTGGACCAATCCTAATGTGTATGTGTAATGGTGTGTGTGTGTGTGTGTGTGTGTGTGTGTGTGTGTGTGTGTATTTGTGTGCTTGTATGTGTTCATGTGTATTTATGGGCATGTTTGTGTGTGTTGTGTGTGCTGGTGTGTAGTGTTCCCCAACAACCAATTCTGTGACATGAACAAGGTGCCTGAGAATTGAGTTAAACTCAGAGTCTATTCCGTGATTCAACAGGTTGAGGGCTCCATCCACAAGACTGCCCCACTTCACACACAGATCGCAAGTCAGTGACACAGTTGGCCCCTGTGCTTCTGACAGACTGGCTACGAGTCAGAGGTTCTCATTAAATCCCCCCCCCCTCCTCCCCAACTTGGATTTGGTTAATTTGCTAGAATGGCTCACAGAACTCAGGAAAACCATTCGTTCACTAGATTACTGATTATTACAAAGGACTCAGAAGGGCATGAATCACTAGCCAGTGAGACAGGGCGAGGTCCTCACCAAAGGAGCTGGCCTTGTGGAGCTGGGCCTGGCACAGAGGCACGGCCAGCGTGCTGCTTCCCCAGTGTGCACACTCTCTGAACACTGTTCTGGGTTTAATGGCGGCTTCATTATGTAGGCATGACTGATGAATTTATTGGCCATTGGCAATTGATTCAACCTCTAGCCCCTCTAGATATAAGGGGGTGGGACTGAAAGTCCTAATTCTCAATCACACGGTTAGTTCTCCTGGCAAGAAGCACCCATCCTTAGGTGCTTTACAAAAGTCACCTCATTAACATAAACCATCCATCAACCAACCTATCCACATTTATCCATCCATCCACACCACCCACACCCACCCATCTATCTATCCACATCCATCTATCCACATCCATCCGTCCATCCACCCATCCATCTATCCATCCCCATCCATCCCCCCACCCAGATACTTGAACACTCACCATGTGAAAGGCATAGTTCTAGTCATTAGAGATAAACCAGTAAATAAAACAAATTCCTGCCTTCATGGAGTTTACATTCGCATGGTGATAGTGGGAGAAATAAATAAGAAACATGTTTTTTTAAAAAATATATTTTATTGATTTTTTACAGAGAGGAAGAGAGAGGGATAGAGAGCTAGAAACGTCGATGAGAGAAAAACATCGACCAGCTGCCTCTTGCACACCTCCTACCGGGGATGTGCCCGCAACCAATGTACAGGCCCTTGACCAGAATCGAACCTGGGACCTTTCAGTCTGCAGACCGACACTCTACCACTGAGCCAAACCGGCTTCAGCAAGAAACATGTTAAATATTATACAGTACTAGAAGCCTGGTGCATGAAGATTCGTGCACAGGGGATGGGTCCCTGCATCTTCTCCAATCTGGTAGCCCTCTCCAATCTGGGAGTTTCTGTCTTTGCAATCATATAAATGAATTGTCTGAGACCCCATCCCAGTTTGGTTTGTTGCTCAAAGAATAATAGATACATTTTTCTTGCTTCATTGGTGGAGATTTCCTGGAAGTTTTAGGATATCTTCCCTTTAATTTTTTCCTAGACACTCTGATTTTACTTATGTGTCTCATCTTTGCTTTCCCTCCATTCTCCCACTGCAACAGTAACTTGCTCCAGGCTCACTTTGCTCTAGTGTCTAGGAGATCCATCTGCCACCAGAACTATGATTCCCAGCATTCCTGGTACTCCCCATGTTCTGGGCTTCCACTTCTGGTCCTGGGGCTGCCACCAGAACTACTATTCCCAGAATTCCCGGTGCTCCCCAAGCTCCCTTCCTGCTCTGTCTCTGTCCCTCAGCTTCCCACTCTGCCAAGCCCTCCAAGTCGCCAGCTCTCCCTCTCTGCTCTCCAGCTGGTGACTTGGGGAGCCAAGTTCCCCAAGCCACTCCACTCTCTGGTCTCTGCCTGGTGCCTGTGTATGCAAATTAACCCATTTTTGTTGGGTTAATTTGCATACACACTGCTTATTGGCTGGTGAGCAGAGGTACAGCCAATTTACATGTTTCTCTTTTATTATATAGGATAATATAAACTAATGCATGTCAGGGAGAAAAATTAATCTGGGAAGGAGAATGCAGAATGTAGGGTGGAGAAAATGCAATTTAAAATAGGGTTATCAGGGAAAACCTCTCTGAGAGGCTCATATCTGAGCAAAGACGAAGGCGGTGAGGGAGCCTGGTGTGCCGGGAGCAGAGTAATGGCTCAGGAAGTATGAAGGGAGGGCAGGAGATGAGGTCCACTGAGAGGCAATGGGAGGCCAAAGGGTCCTAAGGGCTAAGGGCTTTCACTCTTAGTGAGGTGAGAAAACATGGTAAGATTTTGAGCAGAGGAGTGACATACCCTAACGGAGATTTTAACAGTATCACTCTGGCAGTTGTGTTGAGAAAAAGACTCCAGGGGCAAAGCCATCACAGGGGTACCAGTTAGCAAGTTACTAAAATAATCTGTGGGAGAGATGGGGGTGGCTCAAACCAGTGTGGTAACAGTGGAGATGGTGAGTAGTGGTCCAACTCTGGATTTATTCTGAAGTGTGTGGTGTGAGAGAAAAGGAAGAGCCAGGATAGCGCCAAGGTTTTTTGTTCCTTACCATTCTGCTTCTTGTCTTTTTCACCCATAGCCTCCATGCTGCTACATCCGACCAAAGCTCAAACCTCATTGTTCTTGACCCCAGAGTCCTTAGGTCTTTCTTCACTTGGCTCTGACCAAGCTGCCATTACCTGCAATGGACAGGGTGGAGGTGGGGGGCGGGGGTGAGATCAAAGAGCCCAGTTTGGAGATAAAGTTTGAGATGCTCAACACACAGGCAAGTGATGTTGAGTTGACGATGAGATATGAATCTAGACTCAAGATGTTGGATCTCCGACAATAAATTGATCAAAATGTATAAACTTGTAAATAAATATTTAAAATTGTAAGAGTGGAAAGGATTATCTAAACAGTAAGCTTAGGTACAAAAGAGTAAATGCACAAGGTCAGCACCCAGCGCACCTGGGCTCGTAGAGGATAAGAGGTGAGGGACTATCGAAAGAGACCCAGAAGGCTCAGACACGGAGGTGTGGGGGGAACCAGCAATGGGGTGTCCGGAGAGCTAAGTGAAGAAAGCCTCGAGGACATGAAGTCAAGGACAATGAGGTTTGAGCATTGATCAGACTTATCAACACGGAGGCCACTGGTGACTTTGACAAGGACAGGAATGGTGGAATGGTAGACGACAAAGAGCTTGACTAGGGAGGGCTGAAGGAAGAAAGAACCTAAAGGACAAGACTTTTGAGGAGTTTTGCTGAAGTCTTCCAGAAAAATGGGGCACCAGCTGGAGTGAGGTCAAGGATAAAGTAAGATAAAGGAGTGCTATCATGATTTTGTGAGATGAAGGGATGGTGGTGGCAATGCCCAGGGTCTGCCCCTCCTCTCTCTCAGCTCCTGGTGCCCATACTGGACTGCAAGCTGGACTGGACCCTGCCCCAGGAGTCCACCCACATGCCTGTACCTCTGCGTCCACTGCACCCTACTTCCCTATACTCCTGGCAACAGGGTTCTTAGAAATATCAATCAACTTGGAAACTGTATCTCTTTAAAATGTGGAAAAAGGCAGTTAAGCAAACATTGGTTTACTGAATACTTACATGTGCCAGGCCCTGGAGATACAGCAAACAGGACAAAGTCCCTGACCTCCAGGCACTCACAGTCCAGTGCAGACAACAGATTAATGCAGCAGGGAGTACCCCCTTCTTCCCCCCAAAACCCCAAGGCCTTACCATAAGGGGGGCTTACCCAGGGACGCATGCACAGAAGCACATCACCACGCCTTTATGCTGTAACAGTGCTGCGTAGGGGCCAGACGTTGGTGTGTGTGTGTGTGTGTGTGTGTGAGTGTGTGTGTAGGGGGGCTTCTTTGGGTCCTGTGGGGAGAAGCCAGCCAGCAGCAGGGTGAAGAGTAAGTGGACTCAGCAGGCAGAAGCTTATTCCAGAAGTTTGCTGTGAAGGAGAGGATTTGGTCTCTTGAAAAATGATTTGTTTTAATGTGTTTAAAAGAGTTAAGCATATTTAAATGTCACAGGGACTAGAGGGCAAAGGTTAACCAGGCTGGAGAGGCGGGAGCGAAAGGGATAATGGGTGAGCTCAGGTAGGTGTGCAGATCTGGAAGCAGAGTTCAACCCAGGAGCTCCCGGTGATGGCTGATCTCCATGAAACAGGAAGCAAGCTGATCTGAGAATGATGAAGGTTGGAGGTCAGAGTTCAGGGAACTCCTGGCTAGAGGGATAGCTGGGAAAGAAGAGGGTCAGGTGCAAGGTGGAGAGCACTTCCCGCAGGTAAGGAGAAGGCTCAGGAGCCTGGGGAAGGCACGAAGGTGCCTAAGGCTGCAGGAAGGTCAAGTGGGGTCATGGAGGTCACGGGGTGGCCAGCAGTCAGTGCAGATGGGGGTGAGGTAGTGAAGCTGGTGCTGGGAGACCACAGAAACAGGAGCACCAGAGGAGCTTCTGCAAAGACCGGTGCTCAGAGGGCCAGAAGCAACAGGGAGGCTCCTGCAGCCCCGGCCTTGGGCCTCACGGACCTCTCCCAGGTTAGCCAGCTTACAAATTTAGGAAGCCATCTGCCGCCTTCTTTCTTCATCTGAGGTCAAGTCCACATTGTATCTTGGATTGATGGATTAACACACACACACACAGGCCAGAGAATGGTGTTTCTCTCTTTTATTTAAAAACAGTGCTTCATTACCATTGGCAAAGGCAGAGGCGGTGCTCCTCCTTCGCGTAGAGTTTATAAAAGCCAGCAACATGATCAATAATTTATACACATGGATAGTAATACAAAAAAAAATAAGGAATAAAAGCTAAAGATCTAACTACTCCGACCTTCACAATTCCAGCTACTTGATAATAATAGGAGTAACCCAATGAATACTGTATGGTCTGAAAGCTACTATACAATATGATTCTTAACGAGAAGGGAGGGAGTCAGAGGCTGTCACAAAGCCCTGGGTGCTTCTCTGGAGTTCGCAGGGAAACGGGACCCTGGGCGAGCAGCTCGGGGGTCCTAGGAAGTGATCTGGGGAGGGGAGGGCGAGAAGGCGAGGCGGTCAGTTACACAAGCATCCCACGTGACGCCCCCGGGCCCCAAAGGTACCTGTTTGCCATGGCAATGGGAGGGGCCGGGGGACGCGTGTGGTGTGGAGGGCTGGTTCGGTCCCTGCCACGGGGGTGGGAGGAGAGGTGCTGTGGCGTTTTGAGCCTTGCAAAGATTTGGAATAGAGAGCTCAGAGACACGGGGAGCCCGCCTGCCAGGCACAGGGACCCCGGTCCTCGGCTCCACAGCCCGAGCTTATGTGTGGCAGCCCCAGGTTTGCTCCAGCTTTTCACAAGCAGAATTATAACACAAGAGAAACAACTCATGTCCCTTAGGGAAAAAAGAGGATCAATTCACACTCGATATATAATACAGCCGAAACGAGCTGCCAAAACAAGCACACACACACACACACACACACACACACACACACACACACACACAAATACTGTGAACAGAAAAATACAGGAAATGACTAAGCTCGGAGCCTTGAAGGGGCACAGACGCTGTTCAAAGCACTTAGTCCCCAGAAAAACTAAACCAAAAAGACAGTTTTGTTTTTTTAAAATTCAAAATCTTGTGGACCCCCCTGGGAATCTGGTGTCGCTCACAGGGACAGGGGGGTGGGAGAGAGAAGAGAACCAGCGTTCCCTTTCTGCCTGCAGTGGCCCGAGCCCTCCCAGCGGCACACAGGGTGGCCGGCAGAGGCCCGGGCCCGCACTGGCAGGCTCCTAAAGGCAAGGTTGGGTGTTGGCTGATGGACATTCTCAGTCACCAATCCCTGCCAACCAGCACCGCCATGGCTGAAGTGATCGACCGTTTTCCTGAGTAAACTAACTGGCTACAGTGCTGGTGACGTGGACGGGAACTCGGCCCCCACAGCCAACTGCGACCCTCCAGCACCCTCGTGCCTCGGCTTCGTGTGGGGATCAGGAATTGGAGAACCGGCTGCGGTCCAGGTCTGCAAGCCTGTGAGGACAGGTGCCAGGCACTCCGCCACACTCCCCACCCCGGAGGGCACGTGCTGGCTTGGGACACGGAGGTTGGCGTGGGAAGGGCCCTGCTTCGTGCTCCACTAGCTCCCGGCACTGAGAGCTGGCACTCGGATGGCTATGGCCTGATTGATCAGTAAAGCAAGTGTGAAGGAAGTACAGAGGAAAGGGGAGAGAGGGAGGGAAGGAAGAGGCTTTTGAACAGTAACATTTTCAAAACGTAAAATAAAAGTGTTTTATGCAACAGAGAATCAAGTTTCACTGTGTACACTACAAATGGCCAAACATTTTCAAGAGCAAGACAAAATAAAAACACACAAATTTACGTCTGATGTTCACCTTGCCCACTATTTTTTTTTTTTTTCCCTATCTTAAAACAGTGCAAACAGGTAACTTATGTTTTTAAAACACCACTACCCCTTCCCCACCCCCCAAGGTCTCTTTCCTCCTGCTATCCGGGGGTGGAGCGAGGGTGGGGGTAAAATCTGCAAATGTTCCTGTGCTAAAGGGTTGCAAGCAGCAGAGAAGCGGCCGGCCTTGGCGACAGGGGAGGTTCAGGCTGCGCCCTCTCTCCTTCCTTACATGTCTAGTGCCTTCCAGACTGTCTCTTGCTTGGCCAAGTTCTCCTGCCAGAGGGAAGGGGTAATCAAGCCCGCCTCGCAGGTCCTTGGAGTTGCTTCCATCCCAAGTTCCCACTTCCCTCCTATCTGGAAGCTACGTGACTAGTCACAGGGTGATGGCGCCTCACCGAATTCTCGGCTGCCTCTAGGAAAGTCTAACCTACACTAAGAGCAGTTCAGCCCCTGAGGAGTCACACGTGTGAAGAAAAGCTGCTATCGCTTATTTCTAGGAAATAGATCTCCACTAGCTCCCCTTAAACTAAGAGCTGAGCCCCGGCCCGCTTCCTCTTGTAAGGACAATAAAAGAGGCTCAATCTGACTGTGGCTGCTGGAGGGTAACGGTGATGGTAGGTTTTGTGAAACCTGAGTCTTAGAAAGGACCAATCGCCACAGCTGACCCCTGACCCAGTCCTTGGGAGGGGAGCTGTGTAATACTAGGGATTCTGGGAAAGACCCAAGGACAGCTCTCTGGGGGCAAAGAGGCGTGTTTAGATAAAGATCTCCACTAGGGGTCTCCTTGAAGGAGCCCAGCTTCTAAGAGCAAGATGCGTAGTATAGAAAGTCCACATCATGAGCTAAGTGAGCTGCTGAAATCTCTCTCTCCTGCACAGCGACTCAGCATCAGTATGTTTTTAGGAATTATCAACCAGCACGCTCTAACGAACTCGCAAGATGCCAAACTCTCTACTGACTCGGTTACTCAGTCCTGGAGGAACCTGCCTCTGATGGAGTCTCCAAGTTCAAAGGTGGATGGGAGGCCAATACCGCCAAACCCAGGGGTTTCCGAGCCCTACTTCTCAGGGGGGGTACCCAAACCCAGAGGCCCGTTAGCGAGAAGCAGAACCCGTCTGGTCCTGCTCAGGAGGGAGCTGGAGGAGCAGTGTTACCGCGCCTGGAAGGCAGCAGAAGCCCGTGGAGAACAAGAAGCTTGCCTGGGGTCCTCAGCCAGAACCAGCTGAACTGAAATGCACAAAAGGTACCTCCCGTTCAAGCTCTGCCTCTTAAAAGGGTTGTGGGAGCTGCCTTCTCCACCTTTCCCTTCATCCTCGTCTATTTCTGGGGAAGAGAAGACTCTCAAACTTGCTGCCCTCCTCCCTGCTGCGGACACAGCTGTTCAGAATGTGGCCTTGTCTCCAAGGAAGGTCTTGCCATTCTGTGAGAATGGCCCTCTTTGAACATGACGTGAAATTTCTCATTTCCTTTAGTCAGTAAAAGCTCCTCAAAACAAAGAAAAAGAAATCTTCCTGCCCTCCAATTCCCTAGAACTTCCCACCCCCCACCGCTAACTAAAAGATTTATATACACACAACAAAAACTGCCTTGACAGCAACAAAGCAAACTTTGGCTTGGGGAGGTGAACCCTTAAGAAGTGGCCAGTGGATTGGGCAGCTTGGTGTCCCCTATTCTACACACTCCCCAGAATCAACAAGGACTGCATCAAGGCCTCTATCTTCCTTGATGTCTCCCCTAGTTTCAGGGTCAGCCTCTCGCCCAGTTGCTCGGACAGAGGATCCCCAAGGGGAGAGACATGTATTACAGCCGACAGGCCAGTCCCTCCAGACACATGACTGCTTACAAAGAATGCTTGATGCTGTCGCATGTCAGTCACTTTAATGCAGGGACACCAGTCAGTCAAGAACAGGTGTGGAGGCAGGAATTAAAAAACCAAAACCAAACCCATAACAAACCAGAAGCTCCATGTCTTTGAATTACTCCCTTCATGAGCTATCCCTTGGGTGAAAGGTCACCCTAGTACCAAAGTGAACAGACCAGGGAGCCAGACAGACTGTGCTTTCCTATTTTCTATGCCTTCAGGCTGAAAGACAGGACCCTTGCCTCTATCAGCAACAGCTAACAGCTAGAAGAGAAACCCTTTCTTGCCTACCTCGATCACGCACAGAGCTGAAGGCAGGCAGCAATAGCCGACACACTGCATGGGCTGCCCCTTAGCTCCTGGCCATCCCTGCCTCCTTCCCACTGGAGGAGAGCAGCCTTGGGGCTTCGTGCTTTCTGTCCTGTAGCGTTCATGAATACCAAGTGATCCAGGTGCTCAGCTGGGGTCTTTGGAGGATAATAAGAAACTGGGTGGAATGGCCATGGGGGCTCAAGACTGGAGAGAGAGACCCATAAAGGCTCTGGAGGATGACATTCCTATGGCTTTGGAGCTAGTACAGTGCCATCGCTGCCCTGACAGGCTTCCAGGGACAGCTGACCCAGGACTCGGTGCTTGCCTCTTGCCAAGTCTTCATTCTGCCTTGTACTCTGAACTGACTTTCTCATGGAAGAGGAAGATCGGGAGCATCAGAGTGCCTTGCAGACAGTCTAACAGCCTGTCTCTTCCCTTTCTCTTCTGTACTGGCTCTTGACAAATTGTACTGCATCCTTAAACCGTGTCCAGGAAGAAAGCTGGCCGCTAGCTATTTACTTACTTTTCTGTCCCTGGGTCCTAAATTCCTGAATCTTGAGGACATGCGGGCAGGGTGTTCCTAAAAGGATAGATGAGCTAAGCTGTGGTCCAGTGAAAAGAGAAGGAGCCCAGCAGGAATGCTAGAATGGCAAGAAAGAAAAGAATCTTTTTCATACTCCAGAGTTCACTCTGAGATTGGTTTCCTAATGAGGTGTTTATTATCCACAGTCTGAGAGCAAGTTTGGAAATATTAATATTACAATTCCAAAAACTCTGCCACCTGTCTCAGGCTGTGCATGTAAGATGATTGTAAAAAGAATGGAGAAGACAGGAGGGAAGAGGAGAGGAGAGTGAATTTTTAATTCTGCTTGGCAAGCACAAATTCCTATCATCCATTAGCATGTGGGTTCCAGCCACAACCAATCAGAATTGCCTGCCAAAGACCAGAAACTCAGAAGACTAGAAGGCTATCCTGTTGTAGAAAGATCTCTCTCGCCTCTGTGTGTCCCCCCGCCGGCCAGCACCAGATACACTTTGGTAATTCTGTCTGCTGATTTCTGATCAGACGCATTTCTTAATTCCTAATCTCTCTCCTCCCTCATTACTTGCCTCTTCCGTGATTGACAGAAAGCTAAGCACGGACATACAGACATGGAAATGCATTTTTTTTTTTTTTTACCACAGTTAAAAAAAAAAAAAAAAAAAAAAGGAAAAAAATAAAAGAGAAAAAAATGCACAATCTTTGGAACAAAAGAATTAAAGGCAGAAATTTAAAGGAAAAATACATATTCAAAGAACATAGTGAGGTATAAAAAAGTATTCTCTCTTTTTTTGTGTTTTTTTTTTTTTTGTTTTTTTGTTTTGTTTTGTTTTGTTTTGTTTGTTTTTCCTCTTCATCTTGCTATAGAGTTCCTCTACTAGTAAATATTGCAATAGCCAGGCCTCATGAACTGGGGGCTGTCCCACTTGCAGGGTCTCACGTCACTTCAGTAGGGGGCAAATCGGCTGTAGCCACCTCGGTATAAACTCGCCTGCAGTGATTAAAGACATAAAAACAATTAAAAGGTTGATGAGAAAAGCATTAACAATGAAGAAAAATGTTTTGGGAAAACAGCTTCCTTAGAAGCTTTAAAGCAGCTGATGCGATGCTGCCGGGTGCAGGGCAGTCAGGAAACCACTGGCCTCTGTGAGGCTCGAAGCAGAGCCCGGGACGCTCCCCGTTGACCTGAGCTTCTCAGCACGAGGGCATGCCAATGGGGCGCTTGGTTAGCCACGTGAACCAGCACAGGGTTAGCACAGTGCACACTAGATCTGTCGATGGGTCTTCGTTTACCTCGACGACATCCTTACAACCGTGACCTTCTTACAATTGTCAATGGAGGACATGCCACCTCTGACCACTATTTCTGTCATATTCCATGTTTGGGACAGTGTTGGATTTAAACCTGAGTCAATCTTTCAATGAATAAAGCCCATTTCCTGACATACCTGTATGCATAACTGGGGTTTTAAATGGGTTTTATTCCTTTATGTTTATCTAATGGCCTATCTTTTTTTCAAATAAAATATCCCTATGAGCATAGATAGCTCTCTTTGGGTTATTGTTTTAGTAGAGGACTAATATCATGTTGGCACTAAATAAAACCTTAGGAATGTCATCACTTTCTTCGTATTGTATGTCTCTACCTTAATTCTAAACACTCCTCTCCATTCCCACAAATCTCCATGGGCAGGAAGTCAGTGCGACAATGACAAGCTCTCTCATTTACTTTAAGTCTTAAATCCAAGCCCTCAGTCTGCCTCCCTCACACTCTATCCACGTTCCCAGGCAGCGGCTGGGATGGATGGTAGATTTTCAGACATTAGTAGTGTTACAGCGGAAAGGCCCATCTTTGCTGGGATCAGTGAGTCCCCATTGTTGGACCTGGAGGCATCCAGACCAACACAAAAATCTTGGGGTGAGGATTTGAGTTTGGTTAGGGGCCATGATTCTATCCTATGGAGAGACCGTATTTTGCAACAGATGTTATTACTAAAGCATCTTTGTAAGGCGTTCACCTGGTGATTTCTAGTACCATCTAGCAGAAGGCTTAAGAATAGCAGGGACAGCTGAAACCAGTTTGGCTCAGTGGCTAGAGCGTCGGCCTGTGGACTGAAAGGTCCCAGGTTTGATTCTGGTCAAGGGCATGTACATTGGTTGCGGGCACATCCCCAGTAGGGGGTGTGCAAGAGGTAGCTGGTTGATGTTTCTCTCTCATGATGTTTCTAGCTCTCTATCCTTCTCTCTACCTCTCTGTTAAAAAATCAATGTTAAAAAAAAAGAAAAAGAAAAAAAAAAAGAACAGCAGGGACAGCCTTTGGCACCTGCATTTGAAACTGGTACAAATTAAGTTTTCTGAAAAGCTTACCGTGAAAACTGGAGAGTCTTATGCCCTGAAGTCCTTGCTAACACCTATCAATAAAACTACACTACAGTTATGAATCCAACATCTGAGCCATTAAGATATCAATCTGTTTCCTTCTTTCTCTCTCCAAAAATGTCTTACTCGGGGAAGACTGCCACTGCCCATTCCTTTCTGCTGTCCTTGCCCAGCCTGTGGCTTGTGCTGTAACACTCAGGGAGAGAAAGTGCTTTGAAATTTCCAGCTGGTCCTATGTGGCTTTAATGCTTTAGTAATGGAAGAAAGGCTAACTTTATTATCTCCCTAGACCGTATATAGTCTGTAGGTAGAAGTTAGGAGTAAAATGTTAAAAAAAAACCCACAAAAACGAATATATACTTACCACAGCGCCAACTCCATAGCTAGCGGCAGGGGCAAGGGCATGGTAGGGGTCAGCTGTGTACACCCTGCCATAACTGGAAAGAAGAAATACAATGAGGGATAGAAAGAAAAGATAGTGACCCCCTCCCCCCAAATGAAAGGATTTACTGTGTTAAGATTTGTGAGTGACTTGGTCTTAGAATGATTATTAGGAAGTTGGCAGAATGGAAAAAAACCTTTAGATTTCTATTCCTAAATGCAGTACTCTGAAAAAATTCTGAAATCTCTCAGATGGAGAAGGGAGTTGGAGATGACAAAGAGGGAGGCTGGGGTCAAAGGAGGCAGTGCCTCGGCTTTTGGACAGAGGCCAGGAGAAGGCCAAGCCTGCAGGTAGTCCTGGCACGAGGTGCCGTTTTGGAAGCGGGGAAGGGCGAAGGGACGGTGACACTTGGGACCATGTACGTACCCGTCGCTGTAAGCGGCGGCAGCGGCTGCAGCAGCCGTGGCTGCGGTTGCAGTAGCAGGCTGTGCATATCTGTAGGCTGCATATCCGGCCTACAGGAGAGAAGAGAACTGACTTTACAGCTACCTCTCCCCCCGGAAGCACAAATGAACACACACCCACCCACACGAGACAGACACAGGGAGACACAAACACAGACACACACATGGGAGGAGGATGTTTCAAACTGCATCGGTCTACATGTTACTCCCCTAGTGCAAGAGTAAGCTCCACCCAGCGCAGGGACTTGCTGTTCAATTTGTGATGGTAACAAAACAAAACAAAAAAATCCATCTTGGTAGTACCTGCTCTCAAATTTAAGAAATGAAGATATGAATTTCGATCTGTCTTGTTTCAGTCTCTGCTGGAACTTTCAGCAGGGAAAATATTTATAGGAAGTTGGGAGAACTTTGACAGGAAGTATCAATGATAGGATGAAAACATTAAATGAATGTGTGTTAGCGTCAGATTCCCTGATGCATACGCAGACTCTTACTGCTAAGGGACTGCAGTATATAACAAAGGCCTTGTATGGTGATGCCCATCGACCCAGCATGCTTGCAGAGAGGCTGAAAGAGGAGGCAGTCTATAGAAGGAAAAACCAGGGTAGATCAGGGGTGGCAAACTTCATCCTGTGAGACAAGGTCACTTGTCACCTGTTTTTGAAAGTAGTTGTGGCAGAGACTGTCTGGCCGACAATATTGAACTCTTGGCCCTTTACAGAAAAAGCTTGCTGACTCCAAGCTGTATTTAAAACTCAGGCAAGTCAGACTACAAATGGCTGATGCCCTTTTGGCTGGATTAGAATAGATTTAGTACTGCCCACCCCAAGCATTTAACTGCATTTATTCTCCTTTCCTGTAGGATTATGGATTCTCAAGTCCTGATCGCATCGCAGGCTGGGGAGATTTCCTACTAATGGCTCAAATACCCTCACTCCTAAGGAGCTGCTACTGCCTCAGACTCGAAGGTTCCCACTGCTGGGTGAACCCCATGTACCCCAGAAAGGGACGCAAAGGTAACTACACAATGCCTCACAAGGCAGGCTATTGCAGTGGCAAGCCCGACCTTTGGTTTCTTCTTTAACCTTCTAGAATTCGTCTATTTTAACCAAACGGAATTCAGGTGTGAATTTTTATTACTGCCGACCCCTATCAAATATGTCTATACTCAGCTGGCCCATTCTGATACCACTTTAGGAGTGGACGACAGCACAGTTGGTTTCTACAGGTTAGCATGTCCATTTCTCACGGACATCTGGAGCTTTCTGCCCTGTGCTTTCTACTTTCTATTCCCTCAAATGTTCAAGTTTTGTTAAATCTACGCAAGGAATCACAAATTCCGTTCTGTATCATTTCTTAGGATGGATAACAAGTATCTTCTAAAGGGCGTCTTGCTCTTCTTGGCCATCTGAGGTGGCAGCTTCTAGCTGGCTGCTCTTATTTCTGTCCAAATCTTACTCTGGACATACCTGCAGTTCCTGACAGGCCCCTAGAGCTCTCTGCTTCCCTCTTCTGTCATGTGTGCTTTCCCTAACTGAGAAACGGCACCGAGGAGCATTTACTCTTGCTCCTTAGATTTATTTGCCTGAGTCAGAGACCTTCAAATGTGCACTTTAAAATCCCCTGATTTGTTTTCAGTGGTTATGCATTATCCCATCTTTGCTCTTCAAGGGAATGACTTAAAAAAGTAAAAATTTATTTCTCAGTTACAGATTATTCTACAGATATTCATACAAATTAAGAAAATTCTGCCCGGCCAGTGTGACTCAGTGGTTGAGCTTTGACTTATGAACTAGGAGGTCATGTGTTCGATTCCTAGTGAGGGCATATGGTTTGATTCCCAGTGTGGGGTATGCAGGAGGCAGCCGATCAATGATTCTCATCACTTATGTTTCTCTCTCTCTCTCCCCCCTCCCTTCCTTTCTGAAATCAATTTTATATATATATATATATATATGTGAAAATTCTAATTAATATTAGCAAGCACTGGCAATGATAGGACCTGGCAGGAAGAACCTTTCAATCAACATACCTCCTTTCATTCTAGTCAGTTCTGTGGGAGCAGGCAGGCTGGACTGATGTGGGTAACACTGTACAGCCCAGCTGCAACCTATACATATCACATCATTTATAAACTAACTGAAGTCTTTCTCTCTTAACTTCTAAAGGAAACAAAGCAGCAAAGGCATTTGTTAAGGCAACAAGCTAGTAAACGCTGTTGGAATGTTAGGCTCTGAGTGAACCTTAAAGGCTCAGTTTCCATTATAACGGGAGATTCCATCGGTGCAGAACTAACGCTTGTCCTGTAACGTGTGCAGCAGGGTCCCCTCCGCTAAAACTTCTTTGTGAACCAGGCTAATGTGGTAAAGAAGCATTCATGGTTTGCCTCTAGTATTCTCTCAAACACCAAAATATCTTTAAGAAGTAAAAATAAAAGTCAAGGTAATAAAAGCAGTTAAAGCCTCACATTTGTCTACTTAAATGGAAGATTAAAACTGAAGTTCTGCTGAAACCAGTTTTGCTCAGTGGTGTCGGCCTGTGAACTGAAAGGTCCCGGGTTCGATTACGGTCAAGGGCATGTACCTTGGTTGCAGGCACATCCCCAGTAGGGGGTGTGCAAGAGGCAGCTGATCGATGATTCTCTCTCATCAATGTTTCTAACTCTCTATCCCTCTCTCTTCCTCTCTGTAAAAAATCAATGAAATATATTAAAGAAAAAAAACACACAAAAAATTGAAGTTCTAAGCCATAGGGGTCACGGTACTATAAGTAAATCTCCATAAAGACAGAGATAGTGGGGAGTACATCATGTCAGCACCGCTCTGAGGGACACCCCACTATTTCTGGGGGGGAAAGAAAGAGCTTCTGAATGAGATTTCCGATAGAACAATTCCCCTCAGGAGCCACCAGAAGCTCGGTATTTTGGGGCGATGTTATTTAGACTCCAAAGGGATCAGACTGTGGGAAGAAGCTTCCTTCCCAACCAGAAGGAGGAGGATAAGATCCACCTGTAGTAGTTTCCTTCCACTATAAGTGAATTTGACTTTGGAGTGTGCATCTGTTGGGTTTCTCTGCTATTCAAATTCAGGTAACAGGGCAAGGTTGCAAATATTTTATTGATAAGAAAAGGCTCCAGGAGGATATCAACATTAAGAAAAACTATATTAATGTTTTTTTTAACCATAACTACTCTCTTAATTACTTCATGATAATGGTGTGACTGGGAGGTCTTTTACACGGGGGTCTGTGCTTAGGATGGGCAGGTAATATCCTAATAAACGAATTTGGTAATTCATGATAATTACTGCAAAATTAGAAAAATTGAATTTTTTTATCATGGATTTACTCTTCTTAGAGGTACTTACACCAAAATATTTCTGATCCTGCTTTAAATCGATTGTTGAACAAACTATATCACAAAATATAAAACAGGACAAAGAAAATCCAGATATTTCTATTCCAAATTAGGAGTGAATAAAGACTCCAGGCCGATACTTTCCCTTCTACCAGCCAATCTGAAACCTTTTATGGAACATGAGAACAAAGTGCAGTTTGAAACACCACCGTTTTCATTACTGACTCTTACGTTTTCCAAAAGAACAAGGGTAGGGAGGTGGGAAGGAGAGACAGGGCTCAGGCGAGGGGAGGGGATATGGCGCCACATTTATTAATCACATTAAGAACTAAGCATGCCAACATCTGGAGCTAAAACAACCAGCAAATCACCACGTTCAGACTCGGATTGGCTAACTCTATCTATCCCAGCATTCTCTTGGGACAGCGGTTTGCCCTAGGCTACCACAAGCTCGGTGAAGTACAGCCTCAATTACTAGAGCGTGCAGCCACAACGACCTGGTATTACGGAAACAGTCAGTCACCACTTGAGTTAACATTCCAGACCCTAACGACTGGCCCCTCCCCAGCCCAAAGAAAAAGGAAATCTTGCCCACCCTAGCCCTGGCCCACACCACAATGTTAATAATTATAACAAGCAGTAACCCATCTGTTATATCAGAGAAGGGAACAGAGACTCCACTGAGAGATTTAGAGTGAGATGTTAACATTTCTTCAGCTGACTGCACAAACAAACAAACAAAAAAAAAAAAAAGAGGAGAAATAATTCATTTGGAGATATGAAGTCATGAAATAGCTGATGTGTATTGCTTTTAACCATGCACTGATGCAAAACTGAAGCAACCATTAATAATAAAAATTAAAAAGGACATATGTATTTACACACAATCAGACCTGTTTGATCTGAAGCAGTTTGCAGATTCTATCTGTGTGTGATTTGAAATAAAACAAAAAATGGGGATTAGCATGGCCACAGCACACCCTAATGTAGGAGGGCACACACGGACAGCTTTTGGAACCCTGATTGCTGGATAAATTTGGCATGGCTATCTATGCCTGATGCAAATATATACATGACCCTTTAAAAATAATGACTTTCTGAGTCTTCTGCAATTCACTAGGCATGACTCTTAGTGCTCCAATGGGGCAGCCTAGTGCTACCTCACCCCCCTAGTCACCCTTCCTGACCTGGCAACGTGCTCAGTCCTGGCCTGCGGCCCTCTCGGGTATGCTTGCCCTTGGTCAACACCCATACATTCTGACCCACAGTGTTCTCCTAAAATGTCTCCTGTGTAAGCATTTATTATTACGCATAGCCATAACATATATCTGCCCTCAAATCCCAGCTTTTTCAAAGGAAAATGCTGTTACCATTAAGATCCTTTTGTTGTTGTTAAAGTCTGTTTTCCATGACTCAGAGTCACCTCCAGGGGATTTCCTACTGCACTCAGTCTATTCATCATCTAATGAGCTGTGTGACGTTCCCACACTGGGAGGGCTCTCCATATCACCCTCCTGCATCTGACCTCTGGCTGCCGCTAATTCTCTTAGCTTAATCTCACACTGGCAGACTTTCCCGCCCTGGTTTTAACCTAGCCTTTAACTGTATGATATTTTGTTTTAGGTTTACATTAAAACAGGACTTTGGTGAGCATGTGATGTCAAGACACCTTCGTTCTACCTGGAAGACAATGACGTTATGTGACACTGAGGAGAAGGGTGTGTACTTCAATACCAGCAGACAGAACGAGAGCCTGTTCCTTGTATGTAGTGCAGGTTGATAAAGCAAGAGGTGTGTGTGTGTGTGTGTGGGTGTGTGTGTGTGTGGAATGGCAGGTGTGTGGAATGAAAATCACCACAGCAGAGAGAAACTGGCCTGGGCTGAGTGCTTCTGCGACCCATGTTGTTTGCCCCTACATGCTTCTACTCCTCCCTTCCCTCGCCTCTGCCCCTCTTCGGCAGAGAACTGCTGCTCTAGAATGCTCTCGTGTGAGGGCCTCCTGAGGAGACAGGGTTCTTATGTGGCAACATGGCGCCTTTGAAAGTGAATAACACAGATGTGAGTATAAAAATTTATAATTGTTACAATCAACTTATCTTTCACTTATTCCTTCTCAGAGAGATGTGAGATCATCTTTAATGAATTAAATTTTTCAAACACTGCTATTCCACATCTCCCCAAAGTCGTTCATTTCCAAGCTCTCGCTGGTGCTATATCAATGAACTAACTGAATTGTGAAAAGCTATCCTAGCATCCAGCTACCAGCGGCAAACCTTCTAACAGTGCATTAGTTTCCAAATGAGCTCACTGATGTTGTTTTAAGATGAAAGGAAAGTGGAAGGGAAATACATGTTTCAGTTTTAGAGTCCCAATGTGTCTAGATTTTTAAGGCAGCACAGTCCAATTACCACTAGGATTCTACTACAGGGCCCAATTTGGGACTCAGGAGTCCACTGTGGACAGATTCTACTTCCCTCCTCTCATTTCTTTCAGAGTAGTAAGAAAATGTCCCCATCTGCTAAGATCTCCAAATAGAAAAGCCCGTTTAAGCACCACTATTCAATGTGATTGACAGACTAAAAGAGGTGGCAGTGATGGGACAGTGCACTAACACACCCGGGGTGGATATGTGGCAATGGGACAGGGGCACTTAATTTTAGAGGTAGTGCCATCATGTATGAACTTGACTGTGTGCACTGCTGAGTAGCAGGGCTTAGATCACACGCTCACAAGTCTTGATTGTCCAAAAAAGCCTCTGTTCCCATCTCTAACGTGGAGCTGGAATGGTTAGTATAATTCAATTTTTTTTCACTGCAATCCACATCTGATTGATTGGCAGGTCACACTGGCACTCCTACCTGAGGTATTTTAGCGCTAATGATTGGTTCCTGTAAGACTATTCTATAACAGAACACAGGAAGAGCAGTTCAAAAAACACAGCTGTGGAAGGAAAACAATCATACAAAAAGCCCGCTAGGGGGCCCACCAGCCTTTTCTTTCCTTTGGATGCAAGCATGCTTTTCACAGGGCGACAACGAGGAGCAGTTTGTTACCCACTTAAAAAGTGAAGTAGATTGGACCATGCCTTTTCTACTGGTCAATAAAGGCGGGAGGGGGGTGGGAAGAGTACGGATGAACACATAATCTGTGCTTACCCAACGGATTGGGGGGGGGGGCCCAGGGGAGGATCACTTTATAAATTACAAGCACAATCGCTACATCAGTTCTCAAGAAGTGCATAAAAGACACAGAAAGGAAGAAAATGACTAGCAAGGATTTCAGCCTAGGAGCAGATCAGAGAAAAGATATTTCAAAAACCTCCACAATTAATAGTCTAAATTACTATAACAAAACAAAAGCAGCAACTTACACTCTTTTCATTCATGTCATCTCTCAAGTTCAAAGCCCGTTCTAACTAGCTAAACCCTCCATCTTTCTATTTCTAGTCTGCCCTCTGAGGAAACAAGAGCTAACCAGACCTTGGTACATTTCCACAGATGGAAAATGCATAGAGAGAAGCAGAACAAACTCAAGGTAAAATGATAGGGCTTTCCTCTGTGTGTGTTTTTAAGATGAATCCTTTGCTCCCTCACATATGGAATAGGAATATAAAATTCTAAAAACTTGAGTTATATCTCACTCAACAGTTGCCCCATAAAGTATTCTTATTTTTCATTAGTGGATTCGGATATGATTTCAGTCCCAGTGACCAACTTTTTCCTCCAAGTAACTGCTTTAAGATAGGAAGTAAAAATAGTCATTACTACTAACTCCTTTTATCAACAAGAGGCCACAGATCAAAAAAATATTTTGGTAAGGTCACTGAATTATTTCTGTTTAGCTTGATATGGTAATCCAGCAAGTAGATAAAAAAAAAATTCAAGGGTATTTTCTCAACTATAGAAACATAATCTCTCTCTTAATGAAATCATATACTATGAACTATGGAAATGAGAGAATTGTCAACAAATAATTTTGGTTAATTGACTTAACAAGGTGGAAGTAGGCCATACTTAAAAAAATCCCCAAATATGGAACATATTAGAGAGGGGGGAAAATCACCTTGATTTAAGAAATAATTCATATAGAAAGTGTACGCTAACAGAACAGATTTCAAGAAAACAACTTTAATAACCTAAAGATGAGTTTCATGAGAATATGGACACTAATGTAAATGGGAAAACATACATGCTAAGGTCGTATGCAAAATGTGTACATACAGAAAAGTGTCATTTGGTGAAAATTAGGAAATATTTCCCTAATCCCTAAGTTTCACTGTCAGCACAGGAAAGAACATACCTTTCCATACCTCTTGAAAATCAACTGAGGAAATATGTGAATTTTGATTAAATAGTAAGAGAGGTAATGAAATATGGATTAGTTGGGTTTTGTGCTTGGTTATACAATAACTTATGTAATCAAGGGTAAGTCACAATCTCTATGAGAGACATATCTTAGAAGTGAGAGGATTGGGCCCGAATCATGGCTAAGGTTCCTTGAAGCATTTCTCAAATTAAAAAATACTTTGAATAGGATAGGTGTATATAGTCACAGTACCATATAGGACATTCTACCCTATCTCTACTTCCTGCTACACAGACCCTCTACATGCATTCTGAAAGTGCACAAACATTTTTAGATTGCAGAGAATCTTTGGCAGATTGTGAAAATTAGTTCACTAAAAAGGTACCCTTAGTGATTTTGGGACATAAGGGTGGAAAAAGCATTTCTAGACAATTGTAACCTAGGTCCAAGAAATAATTTCATGGTGACAAGTTTACCTTACAAAATTGTTTTAGTGATTTAGTGGTTAGACCAAGCTTGCATTCAGAAAAAGGTCAGTTGGGGAGGTCCTTGTAAAAGACTTCAAAAACTCACAAACTTTGACTCTTTGTCAGATCACTTTGTTCATATTTTAAATGATATACGACAAATCAATCAGAACGTTAGCTACAGCTAGACAGTCTAAGTACTGGATTACATGTTTAACATGACTGGTACAACCAACAAATCATGTATGAGAGTCCAATGTTTGTAAGAGAAATCTAGGCTGCTAATTCTGCCACTCGTTTCTCTCTAGATGGCCCTTAGGAAAAGAGACCTACCGGTTGTGAACCTTCTAACACAGAAGGTCCTTAGGCAAGTGAGCATTGGTTTCCTCTCCTTGCCATCCACTCTTCACTGGCATCAGTTCCTTCTTTCGCTTTCACACGTTATTGCTCTCTCACAGGCAAAGATCAATTCAGAAAGATCACTGCCATCTACATAAATCAAAGCTCTAATGATCTAAAGAGGGATGTGAAATGAGAAGAAAAGCAGAAAAGGAAAGGAGCTGGTTGAAGGCTAACCTGTCCTGTCATTTATGTATGCACATGATACGACAGTAATAAAAGACTTTAAACCTGCTGATCATCTCGCAAATATGTTCGTGATCCATAGGCCGTCTGTGGGAATGGGGAAGGGAAAAGAATATGTCCAGTAGACTGACTCCAGCAATGATCAGGAAACCCAAAGGCTTAGTTTGGCACCCAGGGGAAAGCGCAGTGGCAGAGAAGCATGCTTGCATTCTTAAATATATAAATATATATATATCCACAAGGAAAAAGAAAACAAAAACTAAATAAATTATATTTAAAAAAAACAAAACAAAACACCAAACCAAAGAAACAGAAAAAAAAAGGCTGGCTTGTCAGGGGGTGGGGTCGAAAAGGCCCCAGTGTGTGTACTTACATAGAGGTCAGCACCGTAAAATCCGTCCTGGTAAACCACACTGCAGAAAATCCACACAAAAACAAAAACAAAAAAACAAAAGAACAGAAACACATTCCGGTTATTGAGGACGGCAGCATGCACATGCGCTTTACATGGGCAGGTGATGTATGAATACATGGCCTGGGCTCAGGCCACGGCCAGTCAGTGAGGACACAAGGAAGTGCACGCACGTTACTCAGCTCCAGGACATGCGGAGGAAAGGAATGCAGGCTTGGAATGAACCACCTGGATGTCTGGTAATTAAAAGTAAGATGAAAACAATCAAGTGTATTCCTAGAGGGCCTAATACAGCTATTGAAAATCTGCTGGATTGCAAGTATCAACTTTCTGTACCTGCAATATTTTGTTTTTTTAAAATAAGCTTGCTCTAGGAGGAAGTTTCTCTTTAAAGAGCATCAAAAGAAGTGTGTGTATTTGTGTGTATGTGTGTGTCTCATGGGGGCTGGCATAAAGAGTGGGGCTTAACATGAAAAAAATGAACCCAAAGAATTCCATAAAGGCTAAAGTGTATTTCAAAATTATGCTTAGTATCTTGTTTTATTTTTATAGTAATATGTAAATTTTTTCTGATATCCATACATCACCTGCTTTTTACCCTGCACATTAGACATGCGATAAGATTTGGCTGATCACACAAGCATGCAAAGTATTATTATTCAGCATTTTAAGAACCAATGCAACACCTCAGAAAAACAAGTCAATCAATTCTGACCAAAGTAAACAGAGAAATGTAATTAAACAAAACAAAACAAAACAAAAAAACACAACCAAAAATACCCACAATGCATTGCTTTCACAAGCAGAGATAATGAGCTAATAAAGGTTAAGGTGATTGGTCCAAGGTCCAAGAATTGAAAGGTGCAGTGGGGATCCCAGATAGTAACAATATAATCCAGAGTGGGAAGGAGTAACTAGAAGATTTTAAGGGTTCTTTTTTGACCATAAGAATACTCATGGAATTCTGAAAAATACAATTGTTAACTGAAGTTCTGGGCATGACCTGTTTCATTTAAAAGAATAAAACTGAAAAGGTAGCTGATTAGGAGTAGGAGGGTTATCTTCCTGTTTAGAAAATTAATTTGTATCAAACCAACAAGGTACATGGCTTCCTTTCTGTTTTAATCCTAAGCAACATTAAAATAAAAATACTTTTGAGGTATTTTATGCATTTGTGCAAAACATTATTTTGGAATCAAGAGACATAGAATAGTGGTAGAGCTAAAAGAAAAGGTTTTCTTCTTTCTATTTGTTAAATCAAGACTTGTCTATTTTAAATTAGATGTTTATTGTATATTCAACTAACAAACTGGAAAATTCCATCACTACCTTCTCTGTTACAATAAACAAGTCAGCAAGTAAAATCATCATATCATATTTTTAATTTGAACATGAAATCACTCCCTCTTTATAGGTAACAGGAAAGTTTCTGATTCTGCTTTCAGGAACATATTGTTGTTTACAGGACAGCAGGTCACATTCTGCAATGCCCACATATGCTGTGCCTTTGTCTTACACAACAGGCAAGCTGAACTCATCTGTGATGTTCATTGAACTAAGTTCTATCCATTTTTAGAGTCTCCAATTGCAGTTAGAAAGTAATCTGCTTCTCAACTGCAGAAAACAGAGACTTGCTCATCATGTGAATTCTAATAAAATGCAAAGCATAGATGCCAAGTGGTAATTAGTTAACCTTCAACTATTTCAGTACGGGGAGACAGGCTAAGATTGGAAAACATTTCTTCAATAGAGAAGAGTGGTGGCATGAAAAACATGAATAACTTTTACACTAAGTTGCATCACTTACTAGGAATATTTAGTTAAATTCTAGACGAATTCCAATATTCCCTGTATCAAATGCTACAGGAGGCTAGAACAATTAGTGATGAAATTAGTTTACTAAGCTGAGAAGCAATTTTAGGCCATTCCCCATAAAATACTGGACTTATTCCTTGCCATCTTCCATGTACATAGGTGGTGTAGTTAATTAAAAAAGAAAACATGGGACATTAGTGTTCAATGTAATGCACAGAAATTGATGTGATTAGACATAAAGATAAAATATCTTTGAGCAATTATAAACCTGACCCAGGCTTGGTAGAGAACTGGTTCTCAAGTTTGGCCAATAGACTGAAATGACCTACATCAAATAGGAGTGAATTGAGCCACTTTATAAAGTAACTTAGGAATATCACAAAATAAAGATGTCCCATGTTTCTGGTGAGCAGTATCTCTTTGTGACCATGACGGTCAACTCTCTTTGACTGGAAGACGCTTCCTGAACAATTTTCCTAGTGTATAGAACTCCCAAAGGTTTGTTTTTGTGTTTTAATTAAATATTTCTTGGTGAAACAATACTGCATCTTTATTTACTTCTTTAAAAAGAGATGTCAGAGGTTGAAGGTCAAAGGTCAAGTTGGGGGGGGAGATAAAATTAAAAGTAATGGCAGAAGATGGAGATGATGGAATGCATGGGAGTTAAACAACTACACACTGCAAACCAAAGTTTATTTCTAAAGCAGTTCCTTTCTAGTGGTGGAGCCTGCTCACTTCAACATGCACACTTCTCTTATCTAGTACACATGTTCTACCTTTGTGGAATGGAGGACCCCTAATGGCATGTCCATTTGGTCAACGAATGAATGCTCAATTAGCACACCTGAAAGCCAATTTTGCCGTAAGAAAGGACCTACAAAGGAGGCTCTTTCCCTTACATTTTAACTAAGTAGCAATGAATAGGGTCCTCTGTCACTATATTTATTCCTCCGTAAGAATATGGAAAAAACTATCACAGGCAGAGAAAAGGTGAAGAACTCAAATGTCACGTCTCTGAGGAAGGAAAGTCCCTGATGCAACTGCCCTATAAAAAGTCCACTCTAAAAATATACCTGTTAGACTCACACTGAGAACAACTGAAAACAAAACCTGCATCTTCACTCCTTCTCCCCATTCAAGAACAAAGGATTTATTTGTTGCTATGGAATCAGTCCACTGCATGAGACACCCTCCATACAAAAATCAAAGGGTGAAGGATGCTCAGCTACATTAGTTGTTTTACCATCATTCAGAAGCCAACTGTAGTTTAATTCTTCCTACTTCTCCCTTTCTCCCTTGATTCAATTGGACTTGGTTCATCTTTGAATTAACCTTTTAATCCGTTTCCTACAAAGAAAGCAAATCCATTGTGGGTAACTAGCTCTGCTGCTCACCACCCAGGCAGTGAAACCAAAAGGGAGGGCACATGTGAGAGCCTCAGCCCTGACCCAGGGTGGTGATGGGGGTGAGCACAGCAGAGGCAGTCTTGTACTACAGCCTTGAACTCCTATTTTGGTTCTCTGCGGTAGTGTTAATCCATATTCGTGCGATGCTGAGTGAACTCCATGCCAACACATTGCTAGTAAACACAAGACGGTTCTGGCTACTGTCTTAAGCCACTACCTTGAGGGCTTAAGGTGGCCAAAATGAAGATTTAAATAATTGATATTTGTTATATTCTGATGATGCTATACTTTGGTTCTTGCCATCTAATTCGTTAATTTGTAAATAATCATAGAATCTCTACTTTGTGGCACGGCAACATCCCGGAAGTTATAAGAGGACCATGGTATTTTCTTGTCCAACTGTTTATTTTGGAATCGAATACTTACCCTGGATAGGCGGGAATGGCTGTTGGAGGTACCGCTCGCACTGCACCATAAACCGTCCGCCCCCTGCCCCTCAGGTGGGCTCCTCTGAAAGCGGCCGCCGTGGTGGCTGCAGTTGGGTAAGGAAATCCAGGAACTAAAGGGAGACCCAAAATATGACAGAAATGTCAACTTGCATTCAACAGTAGGAGTAGAAGCACAACTTGCTTTGAAGCAGTTACAAGAAAGATTAAAAAGTACGCTCCACATCTTTTCTGAAAAAGAAAAGGGAAAGAGACCCAGGATGCAAAAGCTCACGGTAGCATGCCTCTTTGATCACAAATCTTGAGTGAGTTTTCTTCACTCCTTCCCATGCTGGCGTCACCACGCAAGCTGGTGAGAAGCAGGTCAAGAAGCTCTAAGAGCTACCACCACAGTAAGAAAGGACACTTTCCATTCCTGTGCGCAGTTTAAATGGACTGATATAAACTCTCTAACTGGCCAACTATTAATCTTGTTTTCAACATTATTAAGTGCATATCGAAATTATTCATCATGGGAATATTCTTTTGTGTTTTTACATGGTGCGAAATTCCAAGGTACAAAATAGGCTTCAATTATTTCATCTCATCAGTCAACTTTATTCCTTTATCTAAAGTATTTTAATCCAGAAATGGTGGGTGAGAGGGAAACTCCATCTCCACTGTGGCCTTATATCCTGAAGAGGCAGTCATTGTCTGAGGTCTATTGTAAGTATGCTCTCTGGAAGACACGCAGAGACACTGATTCCATGTCCACCGAACTGTTAATTCTACCTCTTGCTGGAGCAAAATGACTCAAGTCAAAGTAACTTAAAAGATTTTTAGCACATCACTGCTTACTCAACAATCAAAACCCATGCCAGGCCAACATAGGCTACTTACTGATTAAAGGAATGTAAGTGTTAATGCCCCCTCTTCCTGATAGGGGCACTGCTGCTTCATTGCCCAGGGACACATCTGCTTGAAAGCTGGATGCTGATTGCATTAAAAAAAAAAAATTCAAAAAGATTACAAAGGAATAGTGAACTGCATAATAACAGATGTTGTTAGTTAAAAAGCACACACAGAAAAATCAATGTAAATACTACCTGCATATAACTCAGGGCCATATACAGCTCCAACTACTGGGCTTAACTTCCAACCTAAAATGGAAGAGAGGATGGTGAGCATTTAAGGTGGCATGAGAATACAGGGAAATGGAGTGATGTGCAAGTTGGTTTCAGATGTTTCTGGGTTTATTTTTGTCTACTCTCAACTTTTCTTTCGAATGCCAAGTGGGGTTTATATGAGAATGATGACATTTCTATACCTGATTATCTTCAAGTAGGACTATGATGGGACAATGAGCAGTGAGGGAACGGGTTGGGTGGGGAAGGGAAGGCATAAAAGAGAAAAAAACTGGGAGGGAGGGAGGAAAATGGAAAGGGAATGAGAGAAGGAAAAAGAAAATTAAACAAATCTTGGCTTTGGTGCAGTGTCTCTTATAGAATTGCCTAACAACCTATTCTTTGTTTAGAAAAAGGAAAAAGGCAGAATATAGTACATGTCATTCTATATCATATGTATCATCTTAACACTATTTATTACTCTAGTTGTTATATAAAGATGTCCTTTGACTGAATTCAAATTTGACCTGGATCTTTGCATTCCATGTTCGATTATACCATATCGATGGGATTCTTGGTAAACTGAGATCTCCTTTCACCGAGATTTACCATTGGGATTTCTCTGGAGTTAACCAAGTCAACAAGGAGAAACATTCAGTAATAAACTTGAAGCTATACTCCCAACTTCAATGCATGTCCTCTGAGATTTTAATTTATAATTAATACATTTAAGTGCATCAGATTTTTAAAGGTTACTAGACTGCTGAACATTAGCTTAAATATTTATAAATTCTAAGTATTTCCAGACAGTTTGGTGTCAATTGAATTTCTTCATTCTCTTTTTATATTCATAGGACTATGGCAAGTAAATAAAATGTACTACTGCCTACTGTTAAAGATTAGAATTACACACAAAAACTTTAATCAATAAATATTTATTGAATTCAAACATGCCCTATATATGTTTCTGAAAGACTGGTTCTTTGGTTTACTTCTTTGATATTAGTTTAAGGGCCTAACATTGTGCCACTGCTACTCTATAAAATTATAAATGGAACGAAGAAGAGGTCTGCCGAAACCGGATTGGCTCAGTGGTAGAGCGTCGGTCTGCGGACTGAAAGGTCCCAGGTTCGATTCCGGTCAAGGGCATGTACATTGGTTACGGGCACATCCCCGGTAGGGGATGTGCAAGAGGCAGCTGGTCGATGTTTCTCTCTCATCGACGTTCCTAGCTCTCTATCCCTCTCTTTCCTCCTCTCTGAAAAATCAATAAATTAAAAAAAAAAGAAGAGGTCAATGATCAGATTTAAATGGCCACATTATTCAAGAGAAAACCCATTAATTCTGAATTAACCCAGTCCCCATTCATTATTTTATGTGCTCGTAGACATTCCCCTTCATTATTCTACATAAATATTGTGCCAAATCTGGGTTCAAATCCTATGGAATTTTAAGAGCACAAATGTTCTGCAATGTCAGACAAATAAGTGTTTCCAATCACCATTAACTAAAATGCTTGAGAATTCACCAGAAGGACACTTTGCACTCTTGTCACAACCTTTAACATGACAGAGAAAGAGTTCTAAAATGTGGCTCCATTAGACTTGAATATTGATTTAGAATATTCAAAAATGATCCAATTCTTTCCAGCTAATGGCACTATTAGGTACTTCCTTTAAATGCATATAATGGATGCACATTATAATAATGGTATACAAAGTCCATTTTTGTATAATTTACAATGTACCTTCACAGATATTTATTCATTTTGATCTTCACAAAACCCAACATAGGTACCACTTGTAGGACAATGAGGAAGTACTGTATTTTTCTGGGTTTCATGTCCTAAATAATCACAAGCTAAGAGGGTTGGATCTTGATGACTTCTAAAGAATTTCCTGGTGCTAAAATTCTGTGACTGCAAATTTAGAGATGAAAACAGAGTAAGATAGGAAATTGGTTCATTGTCACAGAGTAAAACGAAGAGTCAATCTAGAATTAGAATTTCTATCTTCTGAATTCCAGGGGCTCTTTCTGCCACACCACCCTCCCAGGATCTGAAGGAAATATGACATACTTTGCCTCTCCCATTAAAAAAAAATAAATTACACACACACACTCGTGCACGCACGCACGCGTGCGAGTGTGTGTGTGTGTGCGCGCGCGCGTGCGCGTGTCTCTTTACATTGGGTTTTTCTCAAAGTTGCAGACACTGCCACTTTTGTGAGAGCAGTGCAAACATGAGGTAAAGGGGGAGGTACCACAAGATATACCACTGGTAAAATAAGTAGGGAAAATGCTAATTATGCTGATTTGTGTCATCTATTTGAAAAGCTTATTGAAGACTTCGTGGGATATACTTCTATTTCATTTAAGACATTACCAGAACATACTGTTACACTAGCAGTTAGGTTCAAACTTTCACAAAGCACTAAAAGGGGAGAAATCCCCCCTTTTACAATCTAGATAAATCTTGCGGAACTCTGAAACAGGGAACAGAGAATGAGTTGCTCAGACTAAAGTAGAGCTGGAGGCCTCAGGAGCCAATCCATAGTTTCCTCTCCCCTCCCCCCTCCCCCCCAGAGAGCACAATTTGTAAACCACTGCTGCACAGCAGATTAAAATGATATCCCATCTAATTTAGAGAATATGAGTCTAGATGAAATTTGACAACTGATATAAAAGTTGCTTCTGTTAGACAAAATAGACACAGAAATTTTTCTTCTCAATAAAAAAGATTTGTAACACTCACTATATGACATGTACTAGTCATAGAGTAGAAAATAGAAGACATACACCATGGCTATTACCTCTAGAACAAAGGAGAGCTAAGTGTCAAGAATTATTCTACTCACGCTCAAATAAATAGCAACTGTCAGTAAAAGTGAGAATTCGTGGGCATCCAGGGGTATTACGGACAAGCCTAATAATGTATTACAGAGAACCACAGCAGCCAAAAAAGAGGTGCTTCAGTGGGACCTACCCTGAGTTAAGAGATAACCTCAAATGACACATTCACACTGTACATCAGATGAATTTTACTGAGACCAGAACACCTTAATTAAAAAAATTAGCTTAATGCTAAGGAAAAAGTTAAATTCTAAAAAACAAAATACCCTCCAAGGTAAATGAAACAAACTGTCCTAAGACTGAAATCAGGAGAGATTCTTTGATGTTTATAAAAAACTCATTATTTTTACAAGAATAAATGGCATTATTCTGATGATGATTTGTGATCTCTTACCGTTTGCATATGGCGTGACCATCTTCTTATTGGTCATTACACGTGCTGTAGCATTATTCACCTAAAAATAGAAGGGGCAGGGGAAGTAGACCACATTAAGGAACATGATGTTGTTTGTCCAATAACATAGTACTCAATTTAAAATGTAAATTTAGAGAACATTTAAATAATACAGCAATATAAAATATTAATATGTAATATTTTAATTAAAGTGTTTATTAAATGAGGCTAACAAGAGTAAAATGCAGTTTCTTAGTCTCCAAATGGAAAACTAGGGCCACTTTACCACCCAGTACTCCAAAGAAAAAATCCATTTGTAAGTACATTGGAGATCTCTTAAACAGAGAAGTAAATCTCTGCATTAAGAAAAATACGGGGGAATAGTAAATTAGAAACAACTGTTTTCACATGAACTCTTAAGTAGTTCATTAATAAAATAGAGAACATAGATTTATAGGAAGGTAAGAAAGAAAATAAGTCTGTGAATTCCATCTATTCTAATGTTTAGCATTTTTGGTATGTTTGTTTAAGATTTTACTGTCTGAAGTTAGTCAACAAACATAGGAACTAAATTTCCATGTTGACAGTCTTCAGAACCATTGTGAATTTTCTAGACCATGTGGTCTATCCATTTATGAATCAAGTTTTCAGAAGGCCTTTCGATTAGGCACTTAAAAGAACTGAAAATAGTAAAGCGTATCCTTCTTGTTGTATGGTACTCTCCACTCTCATTTCAGAGTGCATAATTCAAAGCCCTGCTGGTGCCAATTACAGAAATGGTGCTGATGAAGAAAGATGAAGTGGTGAGGGCGCTGCAGTCCCGTGGCAGAACCAGCCTCAAAGCTCCGATCAGGAGTGAAGCCTCACCACACAACTTGACTGCACACTGTACTGTCAGGTCATAAACAGGCCAGTTTGGGAAAAGAAAAAAAAAAAGATCAAACATATAAAATATGTCTTACTTGTCTTACTTTGCCTCTGGGGATTTACATAATCTTAAATTTGTATAGTGATAAATTTAGGTTACAAAAAGACCAATTTTAGGTAGAACAGGAACTTAAAAAATGCTTTATTATGTCTTTTAGGATTTGTATAGTGGTAATGTTCCTATGTGAGGAAAAGAGCTTGAAACTCCATTTACTCTAGTTTGACCCACCAAATAATACAAACATTTCACACTTAAAAAGAAAGAATGGGATACAACAACGATGAGACAGGAGCATGCTGTTAAACACACACACACACACACACACACACACACACACACACACACAAATAAAAGGAAAATACAATCACTTTTGGGGAGAAGGGAGAAAGTGAAGAGTCAGGCTCTCACAGACAGAAATGAGAATGAGGCAAGAGCTTACACTAGCTGCTGCAGCAGAAAGCACCCAAGCACTTAAAAGAAAAATGGCCAGAACCAATCAGAGACCACCAGACAGCGAAAGAGACCAATAGCTGCATGGATCAGAGAGAAAGGGTGGGAAGGGAAAAGGGAAAGGACAGGAACAGAACTTGGGCAAAGAACAAAAAGGCATGGAAAAGAGGAAGTCAGGGCAGGAAGGAGAGCAATCAAAGGCAAAGGAAGAACAGTCAGCTCTGAACAGAGGCTCGGGAAAGAGGAAAAGTAGGAAAGGAACTAGGGGCAGGAAGTGCATTAATAAAACCAGCCAAACTGGAGTTCAGTAACTCTGAGTAAGATGTGCAAGGGGGGCAATCACCATGACGTCAGTATCAAACAGCTCAGATGCTACAAAACAATGTGCATCCAAAGTCCAGGCGGCATTACCCATAGCATTGGAAATAAAAGGGGGAGGAAAAGGAAGAGGAGCAACAAGTCACATCACATTTTGTAGTGTTAATGTGAGATGGCAGATGGACTTTTTCTTTCTTACTTAATTGTTTTGTAATTACGTTTCATAAAGCTTCTTCTCTAGTGCTCTGGTTTCACTTACCGCCAACGGGCACCATCGCCAGCATTGTGTATAGTTACCATGGAAAGAGTGAGTCAAGTGAAGGGCCCTTAATGCTAAACCATTGGAAAGGGAGGGGAAAAAAAGCAAAATATGCAGACATCTTACTCAAAATGGTGGATTTTATATCTCATACTTCTCAAAATTGGGGAAGGGGAAAGGAGCCAGTTAACCTTCATTGCCTTATTAAGAAGGGCTGGTGAACACCAGGTGGCTGACTCAACCACAATGGTAGTACATTCACCAGGCAACCGCCAAACCCTCTGTTTGAGGTCTTTATCCATTAACTGTTGAAATTCTTGACATCAAATACATTTGATGAGTGGATTCTTTCCTCCCTCCCAACAAACTCTATTCCTTGCTTATCACACACATGGAGGCGACTGGCCTCCGGAGAGAGAGGGCATTGGCTGGCCCCTTGACTTATTACAGGACATAATGTTATAAACTGGATAAAGATAAAACATTTTTAAAGTTAGTTTTATATTGGCCTGATCATAGGAATTTGGAGTCTGGCAAACTGAAGCAAAGGAAAAAAATCAAGAGAGCAAAGGATGAACACCTTGGAGGAAAAAAGTAAATGAAAAACACATAGACACACACACGCACAAGTAAAATAAAATTAAAATTCCCAAACAAAAAAGGTGGGGGAGGAAATAGAAGTGTTGCTTTTATGCATTTTAGTACAAGAAGGTGAAGGACAGAGATACAAACACACATACATGTGAGCACACACACAAACAAGACAGGGCTCCAAATGTGAAATAAGTGAGGCAATACACAAACGGAGAAACAAAAATATAAACCAGAAATTGAATTATTGAAGACATGCACCTCGATTTTACGGCCCTCTACCACGGTGCCGTGTAATTTCTCCCTGGCCCTGTCTGCATCAGCACTATTCTCGAAAGTTACGAACCCGAATCCCTGCATGCAGCGGGAGAAGGGGGGAAAACATGCACATCGTTATATTGAAATACTGATCTCGTGGTCAAGAGAGAACAAAATATCACAGTATGAAACCGACATCAGCAACAACTCAGCAATATGCTCCCGAAGTCACATTTGTGGACCATGCATATTTTGTAAAGGGAAATTAAATCCAGTAAGAGAATAAAGAACTGTTGTGGTAGTAGTAATAATAATATAATTATCAATAATAACAACAATAAAATAAAACATAAAGCATGTGAGGCCAGACCAAAATTAAAGTATACAGTTACTCGGGTAAAATTACTCAACCAAGAATCCAAGTATTTTTTTAAATGTCCTACTTTTCTCTCTCATTTCATGCTGTTAATGTGTGTCCTTTATGTAACACTAAGAAAATACTTCATTGAATCAGTTATTTCCTAGTAACTTCTACAAGAAAACTGGTATTTAAGTATAATCATTATGTAATGAGATTTTTAAAATATCTAATCATTTGAGGCCTCTCTCCCCCACTTTGCCTCCTGCTTGTACCACCTTGGAAACAGGATAAATTAAGACATAATCTTGATGTATAATTCTGTAGGTATTGGGTGTGGTAAAGAAAAGCACTCATGTTTGTCTACGCAAATGAAACTATCACTAAGCAGTGTCAGTCATTGACATATCTTCAGTGACAATTTTAAAAGACCACATTGGTACACAGAGTAAAAATACAAGGGTGGGCAAGAATAGGTTTATAATTATAAGTACACAAAAGTTTATTCTTATATTATTTAACTAGAGGCCTGATGCATGAAATTTGTGCAAGAGTAGGCCTTCCTTCCCTTGGCTGCTCGTACCAGCTTCCCTCCGGCACCCGGGACCCAGGCTTCACTTGGGACCTGGGCTTTCCTTGCAGGCCTGCCTTTGTCCAAAAGGTCGCCAGAAAGATGTCTGGTCTAATTAGCATATTACACTTTTATTATTATAGATTACTAAAGGCCCAGTGCACAAATTCGTACACAGGGGGGGTCTGGTCAGTCTGCCCTGATCTGGGCCGATCGGGCTGGCTGACCGGGGGAAGGGACAGTTGGCTGGCTGGCCCCTGCTCCTTGGTCAAAGGGACAATTTGTATATTAGCCTTTTATTATATAGGATTGTGTTATTTTCCATACAAACAACTATAAGCCTACTTCTGCCCAGCCTTTTATGATCACCTTAATTTCAGAAAATTGCTTATCCAAATTTGTCTAAGTTGTACAATTGCTGACACCTGCATCTGCTACCAAATGTATTAGCGATTTTTCACATATGGAGAAAAAAGGAATAGTCAAAAAGGCAATGGAAATGAGATCTAAGTTAGTGATATCAGTTGCATACTATTCAACAAGAAAAGAATACCATAAAACAGTACTACAGCTGCTACCTTGAATTAGGATTAATTTATTTGTCCACTGTAGATACTGAACAGCAAAAACCCACGAAGCTTTACTTCACTACGTGGACGGAGCAGGAGACGAGTTAGTGAACTTTACTGTTTGCAGTGTATTTGAAAAGACTGAATGGGTTATAATCATACTGTTAATTTCAACATCAGCAGGACTTACTGTACTCTTATACAATTCTTTCATAAAGCACTATATCGGTTTCATTTTAGATGCAACTATAAAATTTTCTCAAGTTATTTACATCCGTCGAGTAGTAAATTCTAGAAATTTCTGGGAAAGTCCTCTTTTCTCAATAGCCCTAGTGTTCCTGTAGCATTCTTTAAACATCCCATTATAGGATAACCTGGAATCTTTTGTTACTCAAGTTCTGTTTTACAGCTTATTACCATTGAGTTCTCCTGTATACACAAAACATGTTCTTCATTGAGATGGTAAACAGTGTAAATTGCTCAATAACATTTTATAAAAGCAACTCCATCATCTTAAAGGGTCGGATCACTCAGCATCTGAAGGATTATATGGCTGGGAAGCGAAGTATGGAAGATTCCAATGGATCATCTCTACCTTCAATTTGGACATCACCATAAATACCCTAGATATTTATGCTAAGCTGATAGAAAATTTTTTAAAAATATATATTTTATTGATTTTCTTACAGAGAGGAAGGGAGAGAGATAAAGAGCTAGAAACATCGGCCAGCTGCCTCTTGCACACCCCTTACAGGGGATGTGCCCGCAACCAATGTACATGCCCTTGACCGGAATCGAACCTGGGACCTTTCAGTCCGCAGACCAACGCTCTACTGCTGAGCCAAACCGGTCTCGGCCTGATAGAAAATTTTCAACGTATGTTGGCTTGGGATGGAACAGTACGAGTAAATTAGTTAACACTTCCCTTAAAAAGAAATAAATGTGTTGAAAATATCAATGGGAACACATTTTGAAAACCAAATTTTGATGTTAGTATGAATAGGTATACAAGAGCAAGTTACTAATTAATTCCACCGTTTGTTGTCTATACTAGATCTGCTGGAGACAGAAAACCAGGTCTCCAATTCTGGAGAATCCTCCAGAAAGTTAAAACTTTTAAGAGAGGTCACAGGTAGTGATGAGTTTGATATCACATTTTATAAGAATTATTAGCTGTAATCCAACTGTTTGCTCCAGCCTCATACATTTTATGCTTTGGATAAAATTAATAAATTAATACTTATATAATAATGAATTACGTGCAGACTAAAGCTAGGTTTTTAATTTGAGCATTAAGACTATTATCTATATACACATATACATGCATAGATGTTTGCCTTTTAAGCAAAACCATGGGGCAAAAAGGCTAAACATGCTGGTTTCATTTAGAAGGTAAAGAAACTGAGTCCAACTGAGGTTAACTACTCAATAAGCAACAAGGCTCAAAGCATCAATAAGGCCTTCTTTCTTCCATGTAGCTTCTTCCTATGCTTACATGAAATTATGTTTTAATTTGCCTTCATTCTTAGAAATCTAATTCACATTAATAAGTCAGGCCATTCAGATCTCTTGCTTTGAAAAAATTAGTAAAATTATGTCCAAACCTAACATTTTCCTTAGAAGAGCTTTAAAATGAGCAAAATATTAAACAGGGAAATATTAACCAGTCTGATTAGCTGCAAAGTCAAACTAAGGTTTAATGTCAAACTCTTAACAAGAGAAAATATATCAGGGATGTAAAAAAAATAAAAAACAGATAAAAAGTAAACCTTTATTTTAATTTAAGAAATCATGTTGATATGTTTGTCAAACTGTAATAATGACTTTAATATTCTGGAACAAAACTATCAGACAGAAATATAACACAATCCGCATATAATTTAAAACTATTACTAGCCACTTTGAAAAAGTAAAACTAGGTAAAATTAATTTCAATAATGTATCTTATTTAACTGAATATATACAACATATGAGTGAAATGTTTGACATTCTTCTTGTGTGTTAAGTCTTTGAAATCAGTATGTATTTTACACTTAAAGCGCATCGCAATGTACACTAGCCACATTACAAGGGCTCAACAAGGCCGCTGTACTGGACATTGTAGTATGTGCTTTATACTTTTACCTAAGGTTCTCAGTTCCCAACGTTCTTCTATGTGAACAAATTAAATACACCCATGTTACATTAGTGGTTACCAGCTCTCTTTTGGAAATCGAGGAATACTGTGGTTATTGGTTGTGGTTAAAGCTTCTTCCGAGTGTGACAAAATGTTATCACCTGCCTTGACATCATCAAGGGCATAGAAGCCGAATAACTGTCACCTTTTTAGTCTGGCCTCAGACGGCAATAAATAACAAGCAATAGGATGAGCATTGTGAAAGTATTTTTTTAATTTGTATAATTTTGAATTTTTCCATCTCAGAAGAATGAGAAAGAAAATTTACCATGTAACTTTTTAGGGAGAAATCAAAAGCAGACGGTTCTCCTGGGTATGGCCAGAACACAGAAATTAAAAAAATAAATAAAATAAAAAGAAAACTAAAACCCATAAAATGGTAACAAAAGAAAATAAACTAAGCCCTTTGGAAATACATGCACTATTAATTCAGTTTTAAGTACAATGAAAATTATTTCACCTCAGCATTACCTGTCAATTTTCCTGAAAATTACAAATGCTGACTTAGTGCAATTTCAATTCAATCTTTTGACCATATTTATAAATAAATAAATAATCCTCTTTTTTTTCTCTATGAAACTGAAAGCCAGGGAAATAGGGGAGAAGTTAGAGCATAATACGTATGTCTAAGGAATGGAAATAGAGGTTTTATCTTCCCTAACTCCAGCATAAAGTTTAGCCAAACCAGACAAATCTCCATCATTCCAGAAATCCACCTGTGAGAAGGAATAACACATCAACTAAAAATTTCCTAGCAAACTCAACAACTGTTACTGTGCTCTATTTTTTGGTCCTTTCATCAACTTAATAACTGGTACTATCTGAAGAAGTAAAGAGCTTATTCAGTATTATATATTCAGTATATATTCAGTATTATAACACTACATGTCCTTTCAAGGGACAGCTCTACCAAAAGTATGTTTAAAAAACTTCATGAAAAGTACAAATGTTAGCATAAGCGTACTTCTTTATTTAATAAATTTGATAATTATGACAAATTATTATAGGGCTGGATGACGACGAACAGGATGGTGGGAAATCTGAATTTCAACAATGGAATAAACTTTGAAAAGCAACAAGTTTGCAGGTTCTAAAAGTGTCTAGCAGAGAATGCAAGGTCAAGAGTACTGGAGATGGAACTTATTTAGAGTTCTGTTTAAAATTCTATGTGATAAAAAAAGACTGGAAGGAAATATATGAGAATATTAGTGAATATTCTTTTTAATGAGCTATGTATGTTTTTTTTTCCTATTTCTCATTAATATCTTGTTTTCCCTTTATAATCATTTTTAAAAGGGTGCTTTTTAAAAGTTGTCACTAAAAGGACAATATAATTTACTGTTCAAACTGACACTTTATGGAGAAAAAGGGCCATTAATAACTATGTTAAGACAACAGGCATAAAAACTGGGATTGACCTAGATAAACCAGGACATATGGCCACTCTATATATATCTTCTTGTTTATATTAATGCTGGGTTATATCTGATGAAATCTGGAGAATCAATACAGCTACACATGTCTATATAATCCTTTTCTAGATTCTGTTTGAGTACCTTAGTTAATATTTTGGCAGGGGTACCATTTTTCATCATATATCCTAATTGAACACTTCCAAAAGGATAGTCTATCCTTGTTTCACTTATCACAGAAAATTAAATACAGCTGACTTTACATTTATACAACGGACTAGGAAGTAAAAAGATTTTTTTAAATGACATGGAATAATTTAAATGCGTAGGGTGCACGTGTAAGCATGTAAATGATATATATTTGTTTCATAATCTAGGTAAACCAAATGCACAATATACAGCTCAAAGAAGAAAAAAAAAAACGTCAGCAACAAAGGGACAATTACTTCCTGGAGCACAGAAATTCTACTCTGCAGGCAAGCTGTAAGGTAGAGTATTGGCAGGCAGGAAGGGATGGGCATGGCAGCATAGAGTGCCCACTGATGATTTTAAGTAGGGATATTCTAAACCCCTGGGCTGAAATTCTCATTATAAAAAATAAAACATAGCAAAGAGTTGCTTTTTGTTTTGAAGCCATTTGGTTAAATACCGTTTTACATGCATTACTTATCTCAGAATTAATTTGTGACTAGTTATTCCATTACTACTTTAAAAATTTTTTTCAATAAGGCCAATTTCTGTTCAGAAAGCACTCCTAAAAGACTGAACGACTCTTAACTGAACAATAGGACACATAAGATTCCTTTTCTCGGGTTCCTTTCAAGACGTGTAATTTTATAGTAAATCCAAACATATTAGAAATGAGAAACTAAATTTAATTAAAAAAAAAAGAAAAGTACTGTTTATCTTCGGTGGATTCCAGAAGAGGTATCTAGGTTTGACTCCAACATAAATCTCTAATAACGAGCCTAAAACAGTTCCAGAGGAATCCATTCTAGCAAAGAACTTTAGGTAACAACAGGAGGGCAAGGGTGAAAACAGGTTTTGTGCCAGTCCTTGTAGGCAGATTCAAGACAATCCCAAATTCTGTGCTTTGTTTTACAACAGTTACCAATTAGTAATAGTCTGTCTTCCCTTCAGCAGCCCAAAGGGAAAGGGTCGTAGCATGGAGCTGAGAGGCAGCATATGCTTGTAGATTTTCCAAAGAGAAGAGGAATATTTATGCCATTTAAAATGAAAATTATAGGGGAGAAGCAATTGAATTGGATAAATTTAAAAAAATCCTTAAAGTCAATGAAAGAAACCTTAAGAAAGATCAATTTCCTTTGCTTCAAAGAATTCAATCAAATTATTTTCTTGGTAAGGAGCCTGATGAAATTATATTGGGCTTTCGGTTGTTAAGAGTCTTGTTAAGGATAGCATACACTTAAAAGCCAGAAACATTTAAAATGCTACTTTAGATAAAAAGTGTGGTCAATAATCTTCACATATTTATTTTACATTCATGTGCCTCTCATCTCTAAACCATTGTCATCGTTTCACCTTGTATCTAAAAAGGTCACAAGAAATAAAAACAAACTATATGACAAAGAAATAGAAATCTGTTGTGAGGAAATTACAAGCATAGTTTCACTGGTTACAGTTTGAATTGATTCCACTTTAAAAATACTTACCAAGGAAGTTCTGGAGAAAATTCTGTATAGGCATAATAATCTTTTTTGTTTTAACAGAAAACTGAAAGCTTAGAATATAATTACCTCTTAAATATTAAAAAATAATTATTATGGCAAAAATTAAACACTTTTGTTGATGCATTCTATAAAGGAAGGGAATAATAACCAGGAGCATTAGAACAGTACATACATTTGTATTGGTACAGCTGGGGGAAGCAGCTATAAAACTCTGCACAGAGGTGGTATTAACTTGGAATAAGAAATTAGAGAGATAAATACTAAAATAAATAAGCAAATAAATGAGTTTTCTCAAATTACATTCTTAGAGATTTAATCATAGCCAAGGGCTATTTTCAAAGGTCTGTAGAGCTGACCCAATGAAAATTAATTAAAAAACTGGTATTACCTAAAAATGACAGAACTGAACATAGCAAGGTAAATATTTATAAGCTTGGCCACAGCTGATTTTGTCTGTGGGGTGTACTTTGTTAAGGAGAACGAAAACTTTCAAGTAAAACTTTCCCAAATTCAGTTAATCAAATATTTTCTCTGAATGTCATTGCAAGACTTTATCATTCACGCATTCCTAAAAACACCATTGCTCATTTTAGCGTATATTAATAAAAATTCTAAATCACACAGATTGGGAATTTAATAGTGAATTATTAAAAAACATTTTAATTAAAAATATTTCAGTTCTTGTATAGAACACATTTAGAAGAGAATACATATACTAATTTGCACACTGTTACTTCTTTAATTCTTATGCCAAAAAACTCACTCAGGTCAGTCCTCGACACAAGGGTTTGTTTAAAACAAACAAACAAACAAATAAAAAAACAAACAAAAAACTTCACTCGCTGTATTCTGCAGCTGGCCTGATGGCTTTTAAAGGAGGAAATCAGTTCATAGTGAAATCCTAAGTCACTATACTCTCTGTATTTAAGTCTTGTCAAATTTCATTTGAAAGAGAGAGCAAGTTAACTGAATAACTGAAGTATTAAATTTGTTTTGAATATGTCATTTCAAAGTTCTATTTTTAAAAGCTGAATTGTTCTGATACTTCAGAACAGAATTTTCATAGAATTTCACTTTCTTTGGTCTTCTCTCTTTTCCTTTAATATAAGAAGCTTAGGACAAAATGAAGTCTGATGAAGGACTGGTCCTACATCCTGTTTTCCTGACTGCCACACTCTCCCCTCCAACTCCTCTTGCTTCTGTGCCATCACTCTCCTGGTTTAGGTATCAGGATAAAGTTTGGCCATGTGGCAGCTTATTTTTAGAGATAACCTAACCCTAGCTAGACAGCTGGGGATGCTTTTTGCAGGCTTGAAAAACAGCTTACGTTTTCTGACTACTTACTATTTAAAATAAAACAAAACTAAAAAGAAACCAAGCTGACTTAATGCTGAAATGGAGCTTACCTTGGAACCACGTTCATTAAAGATTATTTCTACATCTAGGATTTTGCCAAATTGCTGCAGAGACAAAAATAAAAACATTCGTTTATGGTCAGCTGTTTATCCACATGCTTTACTTTCGTCTGAAAAAGAAACAGGTCTCCCCATCCTCCACCCACTCCGAATACCTATTTAACACCCATGTTTCTATTTGTTGGTAGGTCCCAATACCAGTTTCTGAGTTTTCTCCTTTTCCACTTAGTTTTCAATTCACTCACTCATGCCTTACCCCCTTTCTCCCCCCACTGTATGGCGGCAGCTGTCTTCAGAATATATTCAGAGAGTTTTCCTATGACATGCCTCCTCACATGGGCAAGAACTAGGGATTTCCCCCATGACATCTGTAATTTTTAAATGTCTCAGTTTTAAGAAGTAAATCCTACGCAGAAAGATTTGAAGGCTGTTTTGCTTCCCATTCATTTTTCTTTAACTTATGAAAGTAAGCCATGTACATTATCAGCTCCAATCCTACCACCTTAGTACTGGTCCACAGCCTTCCTGGCTCTTCCTTAGGCATGTATTAATATAAGCATGTATAGGCATGGAACTATTTTCACATATACTTAAAAAAAACACACACAATATACTATGAACAACTTTCCAAGTCAATAAATATATGTCTGTGTTATTTCTATAGATTACATGCTATTTTCCATTATATTTAAACATTCATAGACATTATGGATGACCTCATTTATTTGCCACTTTAATCTTTTTACAATGAACACCATCAAGAATATTTTAAATAGTAACTTTGCTTTGTAATTAGTTAAATATTTTAAATTTGGAAAGTCAAAACAAAGCTGAAACTACAAAGCCTAAGAACTCTATTGTTAGGTAGCTAACAGCTGACTAGAGGGGCATACACAACACAGTAATTATTTGGAGAAGATGTGTATATAGAAACAAAACTATCTGTGCTAACCAATCTTGGATAAACTGCACTGAGGGGCCGTGCAGTAAATCTCCAGGTATCTTTTTACTAGTAACTCACACTTCTGAGTACTAAACTCATATATCCAATTATCTATTTCACTTGGATTTGAAACCAGACTTTGGGGACTGTGCAAAAATTAAAAAAATAAAAAGAGAAAAACAGAAATCATGCTCTCTCATTGGGCTAAAACATTATCATCATCATCAAAAACAGGTAGTGAGAGCCCAAGTTTTCTATAATAAACTTCTGGGTTTGCTTATTGTTTCATCATTTAATAGAGAATTAGAAAAATCATGGAAAGAGGAGAATGTTTTTATTTTGGGTAGAAGAGCATTTTATTTTTTTTCCCTATACCTGTCCTATAAAACTAAGATTTGTACGGTGTTTTAGAGTTTGTTTTCTTTTATGTTTTCTAATGCATCCTCATAGCATCCTTCTAAAGTAAGGATTACTTCCCCTTTATGGTAAAAAAAGGAGGCTGAAAGAAGCTATTTTCCCAGTTTATAGAGCTGATAAAACAAAGCATGCAATCCATGCTCTTTACCAATGCAACTGTCCTTCTAAGTAGTAGGTACTAACCACGTGGAAGAAGACAGAGCAACCAGGTACCCTTGCAAGGAAATTTAATTTTTATGCACTTAGTGCCTTATGGGAAGGATATAATACGTTTCAAGAAAGCAATGTTAAGAGGCCTGGGCAGATCTTCAGTGGAAAACACACTTCTGACAAGAGAATGCACTCCATTTTCATAGCTTAAAATTCCATGTTATCTCTGACAATTCAGTAGAAAACCTAATAACTCATACTCCTGGGAAGCTTCTTCTTAAATGTAACCGGAATTCTTTTTTTTTTTTTTTTTTAATATATTTTATTGATTTTTGTACAGAGTGGAAGGGAGAGAGATAGAGAGTTCGAAACATCAATGAGAGAGAATCATTGATCAGTTGCCTCTTGCACACCCCCTCTGGGGATATGCCCGCAACCCAGGTACATGCCCTTGACCGGAATCGAACCCGGGCCGATGACATGCCTCTTCACATGGGCAAGAACTAAGCCGACACTCTATCCATTGAGCCAAACCGGTCCCGGCAGTAACTGGAATTCTTTATGCTGCACTTATATCTTCTGTTGTGCTCTTTCCTGTAGAGATGGATACCAGCTGGCTACCATTTTCTCTGTAAAAGCTCTCTTCCAAGTTCTTCAATATTATTAAATCTCAACCCTGGCCTTGCATCCAAGTGCAACACACATCCAGGTAACCAGCTGTAAGCGACAGAACTCTGCTCCAAGGTATTGTCCCATGAAGTGGCCTAGATTTCAGGAAGGGGACTTGGGTTTTCTGACAAAGCACCAGGCTGTGATACTAATAAAAAATTTTAAAACTCAGTTATCTCTTAGTCCTAGATCAAGTTATGAGTTTGCTCAAATTAAAACAGGCAACAACACAATAAGCTCAGAAAAAAATTAAGATGTTCAGCAGTCACTCATTTCCCAGTAACTCAAATCTTTGCTCTTACACTGTTTCTATGATTGATTTGGGAAAGAATTAAAGAGCTGGAAGAACACATCAGAGGTAGCAAACTAACACCCAGACCTGATTTTAGATATTGGTCTTGACTCTATTGAGTTATAAGCAAGAAAGTGAAAACAAAACAAGGGTACTATCTGCTTTCACAGATATTGTATTATTTAATTTGCAACATTCTGAAAGGTAGTAAATGCTATTTATCCTAATTTTAGCACTGAAAGTCTCACATCCAAGCAAAGGGTCACCTTATTTGAGAATTTGCAAAGCTGGTGTCTAGTAGACAGGTGATATGAAAAGTTTCTGATGAAAATATTGATTTATCCCAGGATCTTCCTCAATCTATTTGTAAGTTTTATCCTAAAGTACTAATGACTAATATATGTGGTAGGTTAAATTACATTTTAATTATAAACCCCCAAAATGACTACAGAGACTTACCCCAAACATCTGTCGGAGATCGGGGTCCCGGAAGCGGAAAGGGATATTAGAGACATGCAGCCGTTTAGGGGTAGATTTACTCTCTGAATTTTCACTACTTTGTGTCTGTGATGGCTGGCCATCTGTCTGTGCTCCGCCTTCTGTCTGCTAAGCAAAGAAAGAAATAGTGAACAAAAAATAAATAATTAATTCACAAGAATCATGTAAAATACAATCCTCCTTCACCCAAATCATTCTCAGTGTCTTTAGACAAAAATTACTGTTGTCCTTTTATGAGAAAAAACAAAGAAAGATGTTATCTATGTTCAAAATGCTATAGTTTACAAATAAAACTTAGGTCTTTTGAATATCAATAGCACATTGGTAAAATTGGGAGAAACAGAAATACTAACTCATTTGCCTAAGACCACATTGAGTTACATTAGGATAACTGAAGATATAAAAATAGTACCAGCCATGGCCTGTGTGGTTCAGTGGGCTGAGTGTCCCTTAGTGCACCAAAGGTTCAATTCCTTGTCAGGACACATGCCCTGGCTGTAGGCTCGAGCCCCAGTAGGGGGCGTGCAAGAGGCAGCAAACTGATATTTCTCTCAAAAAAATAAAATCAATAAAGACATATTTTAAAAAAATAAGAGAAATAAAAATAGTACCATTACTCTTAGATTCTTAGTAAAACTTTCTATGTTTTAGATCTGCTTGTCTTGAAGAGTCGGTTGAATTAGTTGTAAGATCAATGCATTTCTGTCCTATCATTTCAGGACACAAAGGAATATTTTTATATTTTATTCCTTCTATGAGTTCCAGAGTTTATGACTACTGGGTTACTAAAGTATTATTTATATAGAGGAGACTCTGGGTGACAATGGCCACTTTACTTAAAAGCTGAAGACATTTTTTACTCTGAAAGCAGTCAGTACTCCCTTCCCTAAACCACAAGAATCCAGGTAACTAGCATATACACCAACATTTCGCTGCTCAGAGCAAAGTTGCGTTGACAAAATCTGTTTGGGAAGTCTTTAAGGGAGCTGACTAACCCACTACTCACATATAAATGATAGATTTGTATAAATCTATAGTGAAAGTGTGTGAGTGTGAAGGGGCATTTTTATAATATATTTCTTACTAAATTATTACTTTTGTACATATACCAATGTCCCCCCCACCCCCGCATACATACACTCCCTCCCCAGAGTTTTGTGTCCATTGGTTGTACTTATATGCATGTATACAAATCCTTCGGTTGATCTCTTATCTCCCCCAGATCTCCCCAACCTCCCCGAAGTAATTTGATAGTCTGCTTGTTGCTTTACTGTCTCTATATCTATCTTTTGGTTCTTCAGTTTATAATGTTCTTTATCATGCATAAATAAGTGAGGTCATGTGGTATCTCTTTTTCATTGACTGGCTTGTTTCACTCAGCATGATGTTCTCCAATTCCATCCAGGTTGCTGCAAACGATGAGAATTTTTTTTTTTATGCTGCGTAATATTCCATTGTGTAAATGTACCATAGTTTTTGGATCCAATCATCTGCTGATGGGCACCTAGGCTGTTTCCAAATCCTAGCTATTGTAAATTGTGCTGCTATGAACATAGGGGTGCATATATTCTTTCTGATGGATGTTTCTAGCTTCTTGGGATATATTCCTAGGAGTGGGATTACTGGGTCAGATGGGAGTTCCATTTTCAGTTTTTTGAGGAAGCTCCATACTGTTCTCCACAGTGGTTGCACCAGTCTACATTCCCACAGCAATGCACGAGGGTTCCTTTTTCTCTGCAACCTCGCCAACACTTGTTTGTTGATTTCTTGATGTTGGCTATCCTGACAGGTGTGAGATGGTACCACATTGTTGTTTTGATTTGCATTTCTCGGATAATTAGTGACTTTGAGCATGTTTTCATGTGCCTCTTGGCCTTCCTTCTGTCTTCTTTTGAGAAGATTCTATTTAGATCCATTGCCCATTTTTTAATTGGGTCACTTATCTTCCTTTTATTAAGTTGTATAAGCTGTCTGTAGATGTTGGAGATTAAACCTTTATCAGTGATAACATTCGCAAATATGTTCTCCTATACAGAAGGCTTTCTTGTTGTTTTGTTGATGGTTTCCTTTGTTGTAAAAAAGCTTTTTATTTTGATATAGTCGCATTTGTTTATTTTCTCTTTAGCTTCCATTGCCCTAGGGGAAGTATGAGTGAAGAAGTTCTTTTGGCATATGTCTGAGATTTTGCTGCCTGTGGATGTTTCTAGTATTTTTATGGTTTTCCATCTTATGTTTAAGTCCTGTATCCATTTTGAGTTTATTTTTGTGTATGGTGTAAGTTGGTGATCCAGTTTCATTCTTTTGCATGTATCTGTCCAATTTTCCCAACACTATTTATTGAAGAGACTGTCTTGACTCCATTGTATGTTCGTGCCTCCTTTGTTAAATATTAACTGAGCATAGTGATTTGGGTTCTCAATTCTATTCCATTGATCTATATGTCTGTTCTTGTGCCAGTACCAGGCTATTTTGAGAACACTGGCTTTGTAATACAGCTTGAAATCTGGTATTGAGATCCCTCCTACTTTACTCTTCTTTCTCAGGATTGCTGTGGCTATTCAGGGTCTTTTGTTGTTCCAAATGAATTTTTGAAGATTTTTTTCTAGGTCAGTGAAATATGCCGTTGGTATTTTAATGGGGAGTGCATTGAACCTATAGATTGCTTTGGGAAGTATGGACATTTTGATAATGTTGATTCTACCAATCCATGAACATGGTATGTTCTTCCATCTTCCTCTATCTCTTTTTTCAGTGTCGTGTAGTTTTCCGCATATAGGTCTTTTACCTCCTTAGTTAGGTTTATTCCAAGATATCTTAATTTTTTTGATGCGATGGTAATAGGATTGCCTTTTTAGTCTCTGTTTCTGCAAGTTCACTATTGGTATACAGAAATGCCATGGATTTCTTGGCGTTAATTTTGTATCCTGCTACATTGCTAAGTTCATTTATTAAGTCAATTAGTTTTTTAATGCAGTCTTTTGGGTTTTTCATGTACAATATCATGTCATCTGCAAATAAGGATAACTTTACTTCTTCTTTTCCAATTTGGATGCTTTTTATATCCTCTTCTTGTCTAATTGCAATGGCTAGTACTTCCATTACTATGTCAAACAGGAGTGGTGAGAGTGGGCAACCCTGTCTTGTTCCTGTTCTTGGAGGGAATGATTTTAGTTTTTGCTCATTGAGTCTGATGTTGGCTGTGGGTTTATCATATATAGCTTTTATTATGTTGAGGTATGATCCTTGTACTCCCACCTTGTTGAGAGTATTTGTCAGGAAAGGGTGTTGGCCTTTTTCAAATGCTTTTTCTGCATCAATTGATATGACTCTATGATTTTTATCTTTCAGTTTGTTTACGTGATGTATCACGTTTATGATTTGCGGATATTGTACCATCCTTGCATTCCTGGAATAAATCCTACTTGGTCATGGTGTATGATCTTTGTGATGCTCTGCTGGAGCCGATTTGCTAGAATTTTGTTGAGGAATTTGGCATCTATGTTCATAAGGGATATTGGACTGTAATTCTCTTTCATTGAGTTGTCTTTATGTGGTTTTGGTATTAGGGTGATGCTGGCTTCATAGAAGGAGTTTGGAAGTGTTCCTTCCTCTTGGATTTTTTGGAATAGTCTGAGGAGGATAGGTTTTAGTTCTTCCTTGAATGTTTGGTAAAACTCTCCTGTGAAGCCATCTGGCCCTGGGCTTTTGTTTGCTGGAAGCTTTTTGATGACTGTTTCAATTTCTTCCCAAGTCACTGCTCTATTGAGATTTTTAGATTCTTCCTGATTGAATTTTGGAAGGTTGTATTTCTCTAGGAATATGTCCATTTCCTCCAGGTTGTTCAGTTTGTAGGAATAGAGTTGTTTGTAGTATTTTCTAACAATCCTTTGTATTTCGGCGGGGTTTGTTGTTATTTCCCCTCTTTCATTTCTGATTTTATTTGGGTCCTCTCTCTTTGTTTCTTGGTTAGCCTGGCTAGAGGTTCATCTATCTTGTTTATCCTTTCAAAGAACCAGCTCTTGGTTTTGTTGATCTTATGTATTGTTTCTTTGGTCTCTATGTCGTTTATCTCTGCTCTAATTTTTGTTATTTCTGAAGGGGCATTTTTAATCATGAGTCTCTTTTGCAGCATCCCAGACTTGTGTTCATCTAATCACCCACCCCCTCCCCCAAGAAATCCTCAAAAATGGTGCTATGTTGAGAAACACTTTTGGCAAATACCTAGAAGGTATGATATATTCTAAGCATTCAAAAGCCATTTATTTTGAAGCATTCACCTGGCAATTTCAGAACCGCATGTCTTACTCTGATGTGCATGCCAAACCTGAGCTCATTAAACCAACATATTTTAAAACAGGGATGGAACCTACTATTCTTATTATTTCAGTAGAATTAGAATTGAATCCCTAACCAATTCTTCTGGGTGACACAACAAATCCGTTCCCTTTGACCCAATGTTCAACTAAAAATAAAACAAAACTGTGAATCAGAGATACTTTTCTTAGCGATGTTAGCAACTATTGTGGAATGAAGTTTGAGACTTTAAAATATAAAGGATAATCAGGAATAAATTCCGTATGAATTCCAGCTTTTCAAGTGTCAATCTGAGTGATGGCAGCTTTTATCTCATTCCATTCAGGCCTTGCAGATGGCTTAAATGTGCAATGATTCATGTGATATAAAAATAGCAGAAATAGGAAGAGCTCTGAAGCAATGACCTGCAAAAAGTGTCAGGTTTTCAATCATCAATCTGGGCACAATGTAAACTAAGCAACACAAATTCCGCCTAAAGAAGGAACTCACTAAGTTACTAAAACCGCATCATGGACACCAAAAATAAGCAAGAGCACTGATTTTAATGAATGCTTATCAAGAACCTTCAACCTTGCGTCTTACATCTCTCAGCTGGACTACATGAAACTTTCTCCAATCAAACTTTGCAAGCACCAGCTCAGGTCTGCAGGATGTCCGTGAAAAGTTAAAATCACTCTAGAAAAGTTAAAAAGACTGATTCCAGCTCCAAACCAGTTTTATATATAACTATTGGCCAGGTGCACAAAATTTGTGTATGAGGGTGGTGGTGGTGTCCCTCATCCCACCTGTAC